ACCAAAGCCATCCGTGTTTTGAACCCAATTATATCTCGAGGGTGCTTTTGTAGAAGTAGCATTGACAGAGATATTTTCGAAATACATGTCCGTTCCGTTCATGATGTTGTAGGCCCAGAACGGTGGCTGCTTGATGTAGAAATTCTTGACTGTCACATCGCTGACGTTCCAGAGCACGAATGGCTAACGAGAAACATTAGCTAAGTTAGGTACCTGATCCAATGATGATCGTGGTAAATGTGAAGTCAATACCATTGGGCGGCCTTCAACTGTCGTACCCTTTTCAGCCGTATACCATGCATCTCCGTTTCCGTGGATGCCGCCAGTTCCATGACCATTGATATGGATGCCATCCCCTGACAGCACGAAGCTAGCGCGGTGATTTTGAAAGAAGATAAAATACCCATCGGATCTCCAGAAAGTAATGTTGTCCGAAAACTATCAAGGTCAGCTGTGGACGGAAATGATGAACTCGGACTTAGGTGGTATCTTCTTACAGTCCATTCTCCCCGCCATTGGATGTTCACGTCGCGGACGAGGGGGTTGAGTTTTCGATCAATCCAGTAGTTCTCATCCTCAGGAAAAATGATGGTTCCAGATGTCCCGCAGATATTGAAAGCTTCTAAGATATTGTCCACGTCGCTGACTTGGTCGCCTTTGGCAAATACAGTACATTGAGGTCGTCCTAGGACATCAGTGACTGCAACTCCGGCGGCTTTGGTGACATTGATGAATCCAAAAAGTAGGATGAAGAGCAGATTGAAAGTCGTTGGAGCGATTGAAGCCATGATATGGTAATCTCGAGCATCGAGTTCTTGTGGCTTCTGTATGACTTAGCGGCATTGGTCAAATGTCGACTGGGATTTATATCACTTTCAAGTCTGGTGAGTATCGCTTCATCCACGATTCGTCCCTCATCATCAGCAGCTGCGACGCACTCAGTTGCTCCTGCTAGCGCCTGCTCTCGCCATCGATGATGTGCCGAAGTCCATTTGTTACCCCGAGATTACGAAGATGGCGCTTCAATCATCTACCAGCTCGTCAATAGATCTTGGGGATTTACATTGGAAGATTGCCAACATCGAGCGAAGACTGCATATCTCGGCCAATTTCTACAAATATGCACCAATCCAGTCACGCACTTGACAACAGGTAGGGATTCCATCCGTCCGGGGCCTGCAGCCCTCCGTCACTAAGACTGTCCGGCCGGCCAACCTGCCCTACTGCTAATCGCTTCCTCGAAACCCCGCATATCGCGCACATCCTGCTTCCATACGCGGGATATTGGTCCCGTTCGGTAGAATGTGTGACGACAGCACAAAGCATCGCGAATTGAAGTATTTGCGTAGATAAGGAACTTTTTAGAGAATGGAAAGAAAAAGAAGAAGGAAAGAAAACCTTGGTTCTAAGGAGCAGAGTTGTCTAGGAACCTTCTTTCAATGACTTGGAGAGAGTAGTTATCCTCAAGAGTAATTGGCCATTCGTTAATGCCGAATTTCCAAGCCCTACACTCGAAACTGATGCTTAAGAATGTTCAAGGTGATTTGTACACGTATAATTCCAAGTGAGGAGTTTTTCGACAGAGTCTAGATGCATCAAAGCATTGCGACTGGGAGTTGCAGCGCAACAATCAGACTTTGAATGATTTTCGAGCGGTTTCCCTCTCAGCGTATCCCGTTGCTTCCTTTCAATCGCACACATGGAACCCAAGGCCTACATACATACTATATAGGGGACCAACGTCATAGATGCTAGCCTGAATGACCTCGGCCGAGCTGTCCTATGCGATATCGACTCCATAAACATCCATTGTCCGTGGGAAACTGACGAAGCACTGTTTCCACTAGTAGTGCAGCCCTTGGGAGTTCACCTCCATGATCAATACGCGATCGCGCCATCGCAATCTTTCACGCTGACGTATGGGGGCTGGCTAGGTCTGCATCTGCGGCGAATGCTCGTGCGATGACAGCTAGCTCGCGGCCATCTCTGACCCGATACCAACGTAGTGCATGCATCTCACATCACGAACTTGTAGCTGAGGTCATTTCTTGTCTGTGGAGGCATCTACGGCGAGTTGCGGATCCGAAAGCCGATGTCGTATTTTGATCCAACCTGATCGGGCCTTTTCCATATTAGACAGCAAAGTCTGATATGCCGCAAAGGAAGAAATGTACATCCTCCGGCTCCTACAGATTCCCGAGCGCATTCTCTTCGAGCACACCTGACAATACATCAGGGTACAGATTAGGATGATCCGTTTCATCCGACCGTCAATCACCAAAACAGGTTCATCAGTGTTGATACAGCATGATTGGAACATGTGGATAAGCCAAGGTCAACCCTGAATCCAAATTTAACGAATGGAGACGTGGAACATGGTTTATTTACGCTTTAGTAGAAGCTTTTGAGCAATTACCCACACACATACCGTTTTAGACAGGTCCCCGTTGAAAGTTCCGATTTTCTTTATCTACGACTCAGTCTAGCGGCTGATTCCTAGAACACCTCAAGTTGAGATGTTTTCCAAGACGGCGATAGCTCTGTCGACTTAAGAGAAGCAAGCCCTTGATTCTTCAACTAGACTCAGGTGGCATATGGATCTGGAGTAGAGATAATCAGATGGAAGTGCCAAAAAGAAGCTTCGTAATATGCTTTAAACCAACTGCGAAATCATCGGCAGCGAAACCTCAGCAAGTTATTCGAAAACAGTGCAAACGTCCTCTCATGGCTTTATTCGCAGAACCCTGCAAGAGCAAAAGGTCAAGCAGAGGCTTAGTAAAAAGTTCCATGCATCGGATCATGCTGAAAAAGGAGTCACGATCCGAGCCTCCACCCAAATCAAGAGACTGCGTTCAAGCTTATCGATTTAACACGGTGAGTGACGGCGGGAAAGGTTTGAATAAGGTAGGGAACTTCCATCGTGACATTGGAGCCCCTTATTATAGCATCATTCAGGTGAAGCCTCCCGGATCCACCTCAGGAGACCCTTCTGTAGACCCGAAACAAAGCCGAATGAAATCTTTTTCGTGATAAGACTTTCTTTCGTGATAGTGACAGGAAGGCGTCTTAGATATTTCGGGCCGTCTGTCTATCTGGTCCACAATATGGTTCTCTGAGATGATAGCATCGTACGATACAGACTAGCAATTGAGAAGATTGAGTTATCTCGTATGTTAGTCAAGTCCGTCGGGACCGCGGTACTTCGTCGGATTTGAGGAACTTTTCGACTCCGAAGGTGAGTTACAGGAAAAGAAGATATTGGGCGCAGCTCGACGTCTACATAAGATGACCGGTCGCTCGCCTGACATCTAGCAGCATTTCATGTGCAGACACTCATCGGTCCACTCGTCCAACACAACAAACTTACTTGAACTCTTACCAACACTGATCTTGCAAACGCATGCGCCTGTATTTCAAAATGCAACCTAACATCATTATCTCCCTTCTTGCTCTTGTTGGCAGTGGTCTTTGTGACTGGCCTGCTCCGGGAACTGTCGCCCACGACTCTCTCAATCCTGTGGTCGATACTCTTGGCCCCAATGGAAATGTCATCAAGAAGTTTCAGCCGCTGCTGCACATTGCCCATGGCTGCCAGCCCTATCCCGCTGTGAACAAGAACAACCAGATCAGGTACGTTGTTTTCGCCAAAGGTTTTGTAGTTTCAGTTATACTGACATAGAGGGAAGCGGCGGCTTGCAGGATACTGGAACTACCTCGGGAGGATGTAAGGACGGCAACAAAGGGCAAACCTACGCCCGTTCCATGACTCTGAATGGAAAATTCGGCATCATGTATGCTTGGTACTGGCCCAAGGATCAGCCAGCCGATGGAAATGTCGTAGGCGGACACCGTCACGACTGGGAGACTTCGGTCGTCTGGCTTGATTCTGCTTCAGTCAATACTGCTACCATCACGGGTGGCGCCTGTTCTGGACATGGCAAGTTCAAGTTGACCAGCAACCCTCAAAGGAGCAGCAACAACGTCAAAGTCGAATATTACACCCAGGGTGGTTTGGACCATGAGTTGCAGTTTACGAACACCGTGGGCCGAACATACTGGATCTGGGATTGGGATGCCATGGAGCCTATCGTCCAAAGCGCTCTGAACAAGGGAGACTTCAAGAAGGCAAACTGTCCGTTCAACGACAACCACTTTGAAACAAACATGCGCGCCGCCTATATCTAAGCAACTCGGCGCCGCGTGAGATTAGGGCATTAGAAGGACTCGCTGATGTCGGTCTCTTGGAACGTTGAACTATTCACACTTTGAACTAGCTCAGATACCTTACAATACACTCTGATGTCACTCTCAGTGTCTTTTCGCGCTATTGCAGTGACTCGTGTCAAAAAAGGGCCACTTCATATGACGACCTCTAATCAATGATCGTTTCTTCCGCTTGTTTAACCGTATGCGCGTCCAAGACGCGTTGTGTCCGACAATATTGCGCGTATGTCACATGTGCCAACGCTTGCGGTGAGACTTGAATGTTACAGAAATTAGAGCGTGATATGACCCTTATTTCAAGCTTGGTTTCTATATATAAATCATTTTAGATGACATGTGTCATCTGACCTTACCGTTGACTAGTGTCTCAGCTGCTCACCATGCTGTTGTGAGTAATCCAATCCTTGCTTCTTTTCCTTAACCTGGCACCTTTCGGTTTGTGCCCAACTACTATGTTTAATGACGAGAACAATTGCATGAACCTGATAGCCTTTGGAAATTTCATAGGACCATTAAGGTGCTTTGCTAGGATGGTGGGAGACTGAGCCCCAGCTCCGGGCAGATTTCTCGTTTCAGACTCGTCCACAGACCGTGATCCTAGCTACGCACGTGGGCAACCTATGCTGACATAGCAAAGTTTAAAGATTAGATCTGAAACCTTCTGGGACTTCACGTTGAGGCATGACATCGAGAAAATGAATGACTTGGTGCAAACCGTTGCGTGGGTTACTTCGTGATCTTCAGACTTAGACGAAGATCCGCGTATGCACTCCAATATGTCCATCCGCCGCGAAATCGACAAAGATGGAGATCTCATTCTTGTGCTCAGCCGGCTGGGCGTAGACGATGCCGATGTTGCCGAAGATGGCGAAGATGGTGTAGACGCCGATGCGAAGCTCCTGGAATACGAGCAATTACAAAACAAGGAAGTAAGGGTATCTTCGAAGGTTCTGATGCTGAACTCGCCAGTCTTCAAGGTAATGCTGGGAGGCAAATTCAAAGAGGGCACAGAATTGGCCAAGAGCACCGGACTCTCACTTCCTTACAGCCTTGATCTCCCGGATGACGATGCCGAGGCAATGTCTATTCTGAGCCAGATTCTTCACAACGCCTATGTTACCGAGAGACCAAAACCAGTCGGTCTGGCGCGGCTTGCTTTCGTGAGCGACAAGTACGAATGCACTGGGGCACTCAAGTACTGCGGAATGGTATGGATCAGGGATTGGCTCTCAGACTACGATGAAAATGTGCCGCCAATGGCAGACCTTTGCCACCTCCTGGTCTTTTCATATGTCATAGACCTCCCCCTCGAATTCTCAGAGTTATCGTGGAGAATCTTCCTCCACCACGAAGGACCAATTTCGAGAGGCTCGGAGCAAGTCAAGGTATTAGCAGATCATCCTCTGCTGAAGAATGACATCATCCGTAAGTAACTTTGTTCACGGGGCTCATGTGAAGGATCATCTTGACGTTGATTATTCAGGATGTTTGGAGGCGAAAAGACACGAATGCTGCAACTCATTCTACAAGGGTCTCGTTAGCCCCATGACTTGGACGTGGGACATTTCTCAAAATCCTTGTGTGAGATCCGCCAAAGCACTGGCGTCGTATATCGAGACTCTCCGAAAGTCCAACATTCTGCCAAAAGACATCGACTTCGCGACTCACAAATTCTGCAACCTACTCAACACGGCAGTTGATCTTCCCAAGATCACGATGATGGATTTCTCGTGCATACGGGAGGTTGGGGTTTGTGGCTGTCGCTCAAACAAGTACGCCAACCGCAACTTGTCGTATGAGGTTGAAAAGGAGGCGGACAAGATCATCCAGCAAAGACGGGTGTTTAACTGCCTGGATTGTTTGAAAAGCGATGGTGCATCTGGGAAGCGGAAGTCATGTCGTATTCCTCATTAATCATCGAAGCAAAGTTAGTCAAAGTCCTTGAACTCTAGGATGGGAAGACAAAGTGGTACTCGCGCAAGTAGATACTCGATGAGGCAAGGTGCTTTATGGGAAATAACCAAACACAACAAGTTTGCCTCCAGAATGAGTGAAATCATCCATTTCAACTATTTGAAATTACTACTATCAACCTGCGGCTACGTCATGGTCGATTCCCCCCTTCGTAGGGTAGGAGTTTGTCTACTTCGGCACCTTGCTTGCTACTTCGACTCAGCTGTGAATTAAACCCCAAGTAACAAACAGCATTTTCTGGCTGTTGTAACACTGCACAGTCCCTTGCAATCCAAGCTTCCCATTCTGTGCCATGACACCATATCTCGTCGTGTAGAAGCGAATATCGTTCGTGCCAACGTTCATAGGGCTAGCCGCGCTGCCAGAGTCGGCATATCTGACGGCAAAGCTGCAAGTTCCAGAGCTCACTACAGTAGCCCATCCATTGGAAGAGAAGTCTCCGGGCTGCAAAGTCCAAAATCCATTCTGACTGCTGAGAGAGCTGGCGAGTGCCTGGCAGTCTGCTGCCAGCGGAGCGGAAGCTGAGAAATCTGTCGCCGGGTCCTCGGCCATCTCTCCGCACCACTCGTCTCTTCCGGAAGAGAAGGGGAATCTTTTTGATAGACGAACTGGCCGTGTGCCTTCTGATCCCTGGGTGAACTTGATGTTGCGGTTCATGCGTATTGTTGAAGTAGTGCCATCGGCGTTGGTGAATGTGCGAGGGACCATGAGCTGAGAATCCTGTACCGATGCATTTGCTACTGAGAGCAAGCCAAAGGTGACGAGGCCAAGTATGGACTTGGCTGAGATGTGCATTGTGATGTAATTGAATGGGTCGAAATTTCCTGTCGCGAGGTTGCTGTGTTGAAAAGACGTTCGTCGGTCTTGGCTTTGATTTGAGCTTTATTTGACTTGGTTATTGAAGCAGGAGCGAGAATTGATTGATGATACTCCGAAGATCGAAACGAGGGTAAACAACATGGGAAAAGGCTCTCTTATATTCACATAATGACTAGCAAACAAATGCCCTCATGGACAAAGGCAAAAGGAGTGAAGGGATGGGTTGCGCCGAATCGCTGCGTGTGATTCATTCCCTGCAACTTGATGTTTGCTACCAATGGCCGTGCCTGAATCAGTCGAACTTACGAGAAATCAGCTCGGTGATGAGCGCGGGGTCCAAAAACGCCAAGTGATTCGCTCTGAGATGTTTGACAAAGCCATGGCCCCCGATGTTTTATCAGAGGGCCCCGCATTGCGACCGCATTGCGGGCATAGCGGACTCGATATGTGAAGTTGATCGGGGGCGGTCTCGCGATGCTGTTGGGCAAAGGAGTTTACGTGATGGACCTGAGTGTGATAGTGACGGGAAACGGCCCCCGGGAGAGCGGGGATTGGCACCGGAAGCGCCCAGGGCGGACGTGACATTAATGCGGCACATGTGTGCTCTGTGGGGACCAGCCAATGACAACGCGACGCCGTCATGTTGGTTTGGTTTAAGGATCTGCAAGCGTCCCCAACTAGGGTGATGAGAGCTAGATTCGTGCATGAAATCAAAGTGATGATTTGGGGCCCCTGAATTGAGGACCTTTAATTCAGGTCGGGGCCGTCGGAGACTTTGGGGTTCTCTAAGTGAAGGCCGCATGAGTGCTCACAGTTTGGGGTTGCAGGCTATTTGTTATGACTAGTAAGACAAACTTCCACATTACTTCGCAAGGACGGCCGGGGCTAGCCTCTTCTTCCGTTGCGAAGTGGAGGTCGAGGTAGATAGGAAAACATTGTTGACCCTTGGTCAGCAGCAAATACATTATACTGCGCCATCGTGCGATCAGGCAGTCGGCGAGGAAACCCTCGATTGCTACGTGCCCACCAGGCCATCTCAGTTTGGAACAACACCCCCTCTCCCACAGCTTGTACTTGGTTCAACCTCGTCCGAATCCAGTGAGACGGTATCTGTCAGGCAAGGGCACGAGTAACGTCGGCCTCCAGATTTGATACCGCCTGTCTAACAGCATCCATCCCACTCACATCGTCTTCAATGAACCTCGTCGCTTCGTAAAGGTGGGGCTGTCCCTTAGCAAGGAAGAGCTTCACCTTGCTCTCGCCGAGACAATGAACCATGTGAGTGCTCACACAGAGGTCAACATCTTCATCAGCGTCACCCTGTATGATGGTCGTGGGTGGCCACGCCGCAGCTCTGCTCTCTCCCATCTCACCTTGGGCCCATTCGTAGCCTGGGTCAACTTCACCCACAAGATTGAGAAACTCGTTGCGGTAAAGGTAGTAGTCATAGAGACATCCTCGGGGGAACTCATCGCAGTTGCCATCATCTGAGATGGGGAGTGGAGGCAATACAAATGCGGTATTCTTGGCGCCATCAGGAAGGATCTTCTCAACATGGAAGACCTGTGGATTATTTGCGGATGTCACTCCTATGGATACCGGTGCGGATAAGTGGTGGCTCATTTGTGCTTCGGTTATGGGTTCCGGTGTAAGTAAGACTGAAGAACTGAAGAATGGATGACGAAAAGTAGTGATGCCGGTGATTGATAACAGAGCAAGGGGAGTCGGGTGGAGGTGGTGAGCCGTCAGAGAGGCGATGAAGAAACCTAGGACTCAAGTCAGGGCCTCAAAGAAGGTTTGAGGCGACGTAGTGAAGAGCCTCTTACCCGCACTTGATCCACCTACAATCACTTTTCGATTTGAGGCAAGTTCATTTGTGATTGCCCAGCGCAGTGCAAAGGAGTAAGCGTCAGTGGCATCTTGGAGCAGACCTGAAGCCTTGGCCTGTGGAAGCATTCGATAGCTCGCACTGATGAGAGTCCATTGATTCTTGAAGCAGACCTAAGGCGGTAAGGTCAGCTACCTTTGGCGGATGAGGAAGCACGGTAGTTGTCCATGAAGATGAAGGGCTCACCTGTACAAGCCAAGGCGGAACACATTCCCTGGAACCGCTCACGAGGCCACCTGAGTGGAAGTACAGGAAGACGGGAGCTATGAGTGGGTATTCAGCAGAGGAATACACATCGCACTCGAGCGGGATCGTGCGTTGCGCAAACACAAGAGTGGTCTTGGTCAACGACATGGTGTCTGGGTGCATCAACGGTTGAAGAATCTCGGGAGTGGGAATGAGAAGCTCAGCTGAGGTCGTGTAGGATGAGTGAGTGATGGCCGTGCCAGTTAGGCGATGGTAAGCAGGTCATGATGGTAGTGCTCATGACGAGTATCATGAGATTCAAGGGCGCGAGATGTGATAGGATGATTTGATGCAATGGTTGCGTCTCTATGGTGGGGGATCTGCTCATGTCACCTTGGGCATTTCACAGTAAGACTCAAGAGGGAGCTTCAGTCCAGCCACATGAGGTGAGAGCAGCACCAGCCACAGATGATATACACCGCGCACGAGCCACAGCTTCTCTTTTGCCGATCGGCTGAAGTTCTGGAGACAACAGGCGGGAAGCACCGCATTGGCACTGAAGATGTGCAGGAGCAGAAGGAGGGGCCGAGGGCAATGAGTGGACCAGCGGGGTACAAGAGCTTGGCTTTGACCTTACGTAATCAGTCACCACTTGGGCACTCAAGGTAGGTATCCCAGGCGGTGAGCAAGCTGCAGCCAAATCAGGACTAGCATTGTTGTTTGCCGCGGGATGGTTTTGCCGGTATGCCGTCCTCACCGTATTACGGCATTCCCTCTCAGCGGAAGGATGCCACTGGATGCCACTGACCGCTGGCGTTCCTGGGCCGGGAATGAACATGGCAGTCAGTACGTAACTGCAGACAGAAACATCCCGCTCGGTTCTGCCCGTAGACCGTACGGATACAGTAAGGTAGGGAAGGTGGGAAGGTTGTATCGTCGAATCGAGTTCCGCTGACACACAACTTTGAAGAGCCCCAACGCATTGATGTCACTCCGATCCTTGGACCTTGGGGCAATTGCGGAACTGGAATCCTAATCCTTGCAGAAAACATTCACCGACCATTTCCTTCTCTCGTTCCCTCGTTCCCAAGCGACCCTTTGCCTTTGGAGCCCTTTGGTGCTACCTTACTACGAGTAGTTACCTAGAGGCTAGCTCCCAGTCCACAAACCACAGATCCAGCACCGGCTCGGCACCACCACCGGCCCCAATACGCTCGCCCGCCTCTTCAAAGGTTGCGAGCCACAGCACCTCCAATCTCTCTCGTCGCAATTGTTTGACCAACGAGTCAGCCTTGCTGTGACAAATTTTCCTATCATGGTTCAGCCTGGCATTGCTCCAACAAACTGATACTCGGCATTTCTATCCCCATCACCGTCTTTTCCGTCCCGAATCTCCTCCTTCCGTCTCTACCCGCCGGCAACATTTGCGACCTACCTACACAGTAAACTCGAGACGACTGCAACCTCTCGTCACATCAAAACAACAACATCAACGAGATCAGTGTTGCGCCCTGTGTATACCCATACGCATAGTCCCAGAGGATCTCCATATCGATCTAAATCCCAAGATCCAGTCTCGCTTAAGCTCACCCCCGCCAATCTCATCCGAGCATCTCTCCAGCGCTCTTCCTCTCTTCCACCCTCTCTGCCGCCCCTCGCTGCATGAACCTGTAACGTCATCTTGTTTGGGGGCACGAAAAAATGTCAGGTAGCCGACCACAACCGAGTCGCAGTCCTTCTTCGCAAACAACGCAAACAACGCAAACAACACAGACAACACATCGCCCAGCGAATCCCAGCGGTTTGCGCCAGAGCTACACCATGGGCTCTCCCATCCAATCCCCAAGCTCTCTCGGCGGCGAGTCTGAATACCTGAGCACTCGCGAGGATGCCACTCCGCTAGCAACCCCTCTTCCTCACGACAACGAAACTCGCGATCCTCCTCGCGCCGGTTCCAGCCTCAACCGACCCAACACATTTCCCCCGAGCGAGTCGACGAGCCTCTTGCAAAATGTTCTCATCGACCACCCGCCAGCTAACAGCTACCCGAATGGTACATTCTCGCCGCGACCCGCCAGCCCTGCTGGTAGCATGGATCCCGAATTTGACAGAGCATCCTCCTCGGCGTCCGAGATCCCAATCTTGGACCCTATGCTGACCGCAATCACGGGCGACGACCACTGGAGGAAGCGATTTGTCAGGAAGATCAAGAGCAGGAAGATGCACTCCTCGAGAACTTTGGCAGAGCAGGCTGGCTTCAAGGATACCGTTTGGATGTGAGCAGGACCTTGATCCCGAGTTTTTTGCCGCTCAAATCTGCTTTGCTTGCTAACTTTGCTTGTTTCCCAGGTACCTTTCGTATTACATCCCTCTCTTGACTTGGCTGCCGCAGTACCAATGGTCGTATCTGAAGGGAGACCTTGTTGCAGCTTTGACGCTCGCCTCCCTCTACCTCCCTATGGCTTTGTCTCTCGCCGACAACCTCGCACATGTCCCTCCGATCAATGGACTGTATGCCTTCGTCTTCAACCCGTTCGTATACGCCGTTTTCGGCAGCGCACCCCAGATGGTAGTTGGCCCGGAAGCTGCTGGTTCTTTGCTGGTCGGGTCTGTGGTCAGAGGCAGCATTGACCATGACAAGAGCGATGAGTACAATGCAGAGGTCCAAGCTAAGATCTGTGGTGTTGTTGCGGGTATGGCTGGTGCTACTGTCTTTCTTGCGGGTCTGGCCCGCCTGGGCTTCCTCGACAGCGTTCTCAGCAAGCCGTTCCTGCGCGGTTTCATCTCTGCAATTGGCTTTGTTATTGCGGTTGACCAGTCTATCCCCGAGCTTGGTCTTGCCAAGTACGCGGCAGAAATGGGCGTGGGCCATGGAAGCAGCATGGACAAGCTAGAGTTCATCTTTAGCTCATTCGACCATGTTCACAAGCTTACCTTCATTGTGGCCGGAGTCAGCTTCGTAATCATGATGACTATGAGAGAGCTCAAGAAACACATGGTGCCCAAGTACCCCGGGGTTGCGTACATTCCTGATCGTTTCTTCGTTGTCGTCATTGCCGCAATTCTCTCTTGGCACTTCGACTGGGAGAGCAAGGGAGTTGAGATTCTCGGGCCGGTTAAGGCCGCTTCGGGTCATCTTTTCCAATTCAGATGGCCCTTCCAGACTTCTCACATGGAGCATGTTCGTGAAGCAATGGGCACATCCTTCCTAATTGCGCTTCTGGGATTCTTTGAATCATCCGTTGCCGCGAAAAGCTTGAGCAGCTCCGATAGCCCCCACGGGATTCAGCTGAGCCCCAACAGAGAACTTGTTGCTCTGGGCGCCGCCAACATTGTTGGAGCTTGCTTCATGAGCTTACCCGCGTTTGGCGGATATGGTAGGAGCAAACTGAACAAGCAGACCGGCGGCAAGACGCCAATGAGCTCCATCTTCCTCAGCTTGATTACGCTTCTTGCCGTCTTCTTCCTGTTGCCGTACTTTTACTACCTTCCCGTAAGTTGTCACTTCCCAAAAGCAGGTCCATCATCTAACATTTTCTCAGAAACCTGTCCTGTCATCCATGATTACCGTTGTCGCCTGGTCCCTCCTCGAGGAGGCTCCGCACGACATTGCCTTCTTCTTCAAGATTCGAGGCTGGACCGAACTGGGATTGATGCTCATCATCTTCGTGTCGACAATTTTCTACTCGCTCACCCTCGGCATGGCTATCGGCGTTGGTCTGTCTCTGCTTCAGGTCATCAAGCACTCGACTCGGCCCCGCATTCAGATTCTGGGACGCATTCCCGGCACGCAGCGCTTCGAGAACGCCGAGCTCAACCCCGACAGGCTAGAGTTTGTCGAAGGCTGCCTGATTGTCAAGATTCCCGAACCTTTGACTTTTGCCAACACTGGAGAGCTCAAGGCACGTCTTCGTAGACTGGAGCTTTACGGCACGAGCATGGCGCACCCTGCGCTGCCGAGACTGCGCGGCGAGCAACACAACAAGAATGTCATTTTCGATATCCACGGTGTCACCTCACTAGACGGATCGGGTACGCAGGTGTTGTTGGAGATTGTCAGCGGGTATAGAGAGCGTGGTGTCAGAGTGTTCTTCAGTCGCGGCCCTACGAACCCGCGTCATCACATCTGGAGACTCTTGAGACAGGCAGGCATCATAGATCTGGTCGGTGGAGAGTCACACTTCGTGACGGATGTCCAGGAAGCCTTGAAGCTGACCGAGTACGAGACTAGCATCAGCGAAGTTGCGAATGCTTAAGACAAAAGAGGCGCAAGTCAGTCAATCCTTATCGTCAAGTGCGCGGGGTTGGTTTGTACGTATGGTAGAATGCGGTTTTGTTTTTGGTTATCAGCATTTTGGAGCGAGAAAAGGCGTCCCGACTTTCAGTTCTTGCAGGATATCTGTTCGTCTTACGAAGCGTACTTTATGCTTAATGGTTCGCAACGACTACGTTATGGATATGTTTATAGAAATTTTATACAAAAAGCGGCGCGGTTGTTTCCAAGCCTCTTCTAGCCTGGCTGTGAAGTGATGTGTATGTTTGTTTCACTGACGTGATGAATATGGATGGCCTTTTCATCTGAGCCTCATACTATTTGCATTCAAATTCACCACAGCTCCTCACCAAGACTTTTCAAACTTCAGCCATGACACTAAACAATACCCATAAACTCGGGAGCGCAGTGATCGTACAATCATTCACATTCTTGATGCTTATTTCCCAACAACTATCAACAAATTTCCTGCATTCTGCTTTACGCAGCCTCATTGACAAACAAACCAGCCATACCCTGTCCCGTACCAATACACATGCTCGTCAACAAAATCTTCTTCTTTGTCCTGCGCAGCTCGCTCAGACCGGTAACAATCTGTCTCGCGCCCGTGGCGCCGAGCGGGTGGCCGAGGGCGACGGCACCTCCGCGGGGGTTCATCTTGGCCCAGTCGAGAGCGAGCTTGTCGCGGCAGTAGACGGCCATGCTGGAGAAGGCCTCGTTGATCTCGACGACGTCAATGTCGGCGAGGGAGAGGTTGTGCTGGGCGAGCAGCTTGGGGATGGCGACGGACGGGCCGATGCCCATGATGCGCGGGGCCAGGCCGGCGACGGTGGAGCCGACGTACTTGGCGATGATGGGCTGGCCGAGCTTGATAGCCGTGGAGCGCTTCATCAGGAGGACGGCGGCGGCTGCACAAAAGGATTAGCACGGTTTTCAGAATGGACTATTTCACTAGTAGTTGTAGACTCACCTCCGTCAGTGACCTGACTGGCGTTGCCTCCGGTGGTGGTGGGACCCCACTGCGGGAACGCGGAGCGAATCTTGCCCAAGCTCTCGGCCGTTGTTCCGGGGCGGATGCCCTCGTCGCGGGTAAGAGTAACCTCCTTGACGTCGCCGTCGGGGCCGACAAGCTTCGTCTTGATGGGCACAATCTCGTCGTCGAACCAGCCGGCGTTCTGCGCCCTCTCGGCCCTCTGGAAACTCTCGGCGGCGTACTTGTCGAGCTCCTCACGGCTGAGGTTGAAGTCGCGCGAGACGTTCTCCGAGGTCCAGCCCATGGGCTGCATGCAGTCAGCCGACTCCTGGGACTGGGAGACGACGGCCTCGTCAAAGGGCTGGTCGAGGGCGTCGCCGCCAATGGTCATTTGTTCGGCGCCCATGCCAATGCCGACCTCGATGGAGCCGTTGCTGATGGCGTGGGCGATGTCGGCGGTGGCCTTGAGGCCTGAGGAGCAGAAGCGGTTTACGGAGGAGGCGCCGGCGGTGTTGGGGAAGCCTGCTGCCAGGGCAGCGGCGCGGAGCTTGTAGGCGGCCTTGCCATCAGAGACCTGTAATGATCACAAGAGTCAGCGAGTTTGTCTGCTTGGGGTATGGGGAGACTGGTTGCGTGGCTACGCACATTTCCCATGCAGATATCCTCGACCAGGGCGGGGTCAATGTTTGATCGTTTGCGGACCTCCTTGAGGAGGGCGTACACCATGTACTCGAGGGTCGTGTCCTTGAAGCCGCCCTTCTTGGCCTTGGCCAAAGGCGTGCGGACGGCTAACGTAATAACGATATCATCGGGGTTCTTGGAGGTGCTGTGAGGGGAAGCAATGTCAGCTGCTTGGTTCGTCCGCTATGGGCGGTGATGCTACGAATCGGAGACGCGCAATCACATGTGCGTGAAAAGGACCGTACGTACATCTGGTTGAGGGCGCTACCTGGTGCCAGGTGCTTCACAATGGATCCGATTCTCTCGAGAGCCATGATGTCTGATGATATTGTGGAAGTATTACGACGACGGCTTGGCTGTTTTTCTCTTCAAGGAACAATGGAAGAACGAGGACAGAGAAGAAGTGAAGTGAAGAGGAAAATAAGCTCGAGAGTTTGGTCGACAGTTATTGAAAGGAGGGGGGCCAAGCAGCGTCAAGTAGTCAAGTAGACATGGTTCATGACGGCTTAGCTGCCGGCAATCGTGTCGGGGCTCGGGTCTTTCCCCAGGCGTTGTGTTCCAGCCCAGACCAGTGGCTGTGGGGGAGTCAATTGGACCGAGGCATCTCGGCCACAGAGCTGGCCAGTAGGAGTTGAGCACCCGAGTAATGGGGGTCCCCACGGAGTCTGGGGTGCAGTAGCGTGGAGGATATCTTCTGTTAGCCAACGACGCTCTCTTACACCATCTACCTAACACCCAGTAACACTTTTCGCCGAGGTCATTCTCTCCCAGAAATGCCGTCCACCGGCTACGTCTTGCTGCCATCGCATCGCAGCGAACCCCGGCCTTACCGACCTGACAAACTACTGCCGTTGAATTTGCTGACCAACACTGCCTTTTTATCAGATGACACTTGGTTCGACTTTGAGTTCGTGACCATGTTCTGTATCAAAGTCAAATCCCACGGCTCACCCTGCTAATGCCGACTTTAACCCGAGGATACCATCAAGTCCAAGGTATGGAAGGTATAGTTTTCAACAACACCACTTTAGTCCAGCGCAAAATATATAGTGCAGATTTTGTTAACGTCGTCAAATGTATTCGTTCCATGGACATGTCCAAAATGTCTTCTGGGCTCAAGGCGACAGCTTTTCGCCGCTCTTTATCCCTCTAATCCGCGTTCTATAACTTGATGAAAGAAAAAACCTTACAAATATGTGAAAAAAGAATGACCAGGCGGTATTCTCCTGGCTCCGTCTATGTGGTGAATATGTTCCTGGGGGTGGTCTATATCCCTGCCCTACATCGCATAAGATCATGATGACATCGTCAGACCCTTACGTCTCGTGTTGAGGAGGACCAAATCTACATGTTATGTTGCCGTGTTGTTCATGAGGCGAGAGTGAAGACGGCACCGAGGATAGTGGCCGCCATCGCAGTGAGCACCGGTGCGCCTCCACGAACGGCGGCGCTACTGTCACCGGACGTCGGCTTCACGCCCGTGGCACTCTTGCCGAGGTACCATGAGCCAATGTCTGTCAACTTGCCGTCGTTGTTCAAAAAGGAGGCGTTAGGGCCAACGTTGCTCGTCTTGGAGCGGAAAGCACCAAAGTACGTGTACCGCTCAATGTAGTCGATGCGGTCAAAGTACTCTGCGCTCATGTTGTAAAAGTCCTGGGTCGCGGAGAGCTCTTGGTTGGCGTAGGCATATTCGGTGATCCAGATCTTGGTGTCGGGGAACCTAGGCAGGTGTTAGTTATCTGAGGGACAGCGCACAGCATGAGAAATGAGTGACAACATACGCTGCAACACGTTCGCCAATGTGACTCGCCAGGCCTCCAAAGTTGTCGTACCAATGGACGGGGAGGAAGTCGTATGTGCAGTTCTTGGTCTCTCCGTCGGTGCTAATGAGCGCGGAGCAGTTGCCCAGGAACTGCTTCAACCAGGGCAAACCGCCCGGAGCGCCGGTGCAGGCGGGAAGACCGACCTTGACGCCGAGCTCTTGGAGAGGAATGAAGTTGGCGACCCAGGCCTTGGCGGCAATAGAAGGGGCAACATCACTGCCGCCATAGGATGAGGGACCATCAGGTTCATTGAAGCCTAGGGCGTGGGTGATGTTGATGCCTTTGTCTTTGATCAAGCTCGTCACGCTCTTCAGGAATGTCGTGTCTTGGGGGTTCGATGAGACACCCCACATCATGGGGACGAACTCGAACTCGGCCTGGGTCTTGCCCGAGAAGGCCGGGCTTGGGATTTCCTGGTAGTTGTAGTACCATGTCAGATCGGACCCTGATTGAACCCATACTTGATTGTCCTGAGGCCAATTGGAATTCGGAGTGAAGACGAGGCCGCGTTTCGAGGAGGATGTTGCTGCCACGAGGGGCAGCAGGGCGAGGAGGAATGTGGAGAGCATGGTGGGCGGGTTCAAGGTTGAGGCTCTCGAGTGGGTGAGACCCGGTTGAACAGCGACTGGGGGGCCGGGCGGTCCGGGTCGAATGGATTTGGGTGGCCCTTGGAGGCAAAAGCGACGACGGGTATTGCAAGGGCTGTCGTTTGCTATTTCGAGTGTGTCGGGCTTTGAATTGACGACGGTACTCGAGTATCGATGTGGTTTGCAACGTTGGACAATAGATGCAATCTTGCTCCCTGCGTTTCGTCTTTGTCGATTGAGGTACTGTGTATTCCGAGTGAGCGAGTGTGGAGAGTGGCAGAATTAAGGTAGGGATATTCTGATTGTGATGGATGCAGGGCTGTCGGCGGAAAAGAGCTGGGAAAACGAGTGACAATGGATGGTTTAAACACAAAAAAGCCTCCTCAAAGAAACGACGTGATGAGCACTGGACATCAAATGCAGGAGGCGGAGCTGAAAAAGAGAAAGTCTGAAAGAGACGGCAGCTCAGAGGGAGGAGGGGGAAGAAGAAGAAGAGAAAACAGGAATGAAAAATCCCATGCTGGCGGTGCCGGCGTTGGCATTGGCGTGTACTGGTTTGGCGTTGCCGCTGGCGTTTGGCGTTGGGACTGGCGCAGGCACTGGTGCGTTCTGTACGTCAGTAGCGTGTCTTGGGTGTCTTTGCGCGATAAGGGTCATCTTCAGCTCGTCCACCTCAGTACCTTGATCTGGCGAGGATTATCTCACCGGGCTGTATGTAAGGTAGACGGAGCTGCGGATACGTCGGTGGGAGTGGTGGGAGACTGGGAGTGGAGGGAATGCAAAGAGGCAATAATACCACCCACCTGCCGCCAAGCTGAGGTGGTTGAGCTACTGCGGCGCCCGGGCTGGGCTGGGCCGATTGCTGAAAGTATTGAGGGTTGATGCCTTTGTCCATTGGTCTTGGCCAAACGTCCACCCAATGGCGCGTCCGGAGCTGACCTTGCCCCTGGATTCTGGGCATGGCCGTGTACCTGCCCGATGTATGAATATCTAGGTACTCGTGTCTGTAGACTGTACGGAGTAGCTGACTGCCATTCATCGGGCAAGTTGGTATCGGTGCATTTCAACGATATTCATGGTGGCATCCCCTGTGGATGTGTGCTTTCCGGAAACATTCTTGGGGTTCTTGCTTCTTCCACGCAGTTGCCTATCACGATCGACCTTTCATTGTGGTACCTTACTACCTAAACCAGGTCAAGTAAGGTGAGTAGGTACCTTATTGACATTGGAACGGGAAGCAGCGAAACAAAGAAAGTCAGGACTTAGGCGAGGAAGGAGAACAAAAAGAAAAAAGGAAGGACCCTCCTGTCTGGTCCCCTGGCGTTCCTGAACTTCTTGGGTCTTAGCTCCTGCCCTCGTGGAAATACGACGTGGGACGGTGGGCCCGGCGAGATGGCTCCTGCGCGCTCAAAGCCACTCATTAGACAGGACGCTAGTCCTTGTTGGTGCGCGTAAATATGGGTCTTGTCCATCCGACGACCCGCAGCTCTAACTGAATCAAGCATGGTCTTCCCTTGCCTTCCCGGATCCGGCACCCGTCGGCCTGCAAAATGCCATGGAAAATCTCCTTGACAGTCACGATTCACACCTTCACCTTTCCTCAACATGGACACAGGAGCAACTTGCCAGAACTTGCTGCCCACCAGCAGCCGCGCTATTGACGGCTAACTCAGGAACCACACAGTAGGTATCATACACTAGATTCATAGCAGCGTGATCCTATGGTTCATCTGAACAGCCTTGACTTCTCCGGAAAACTACCACGACTACCTACCCCTCCACAACCACATTCTCACCACCGCCGTCCTTTTTCCATCGCACTTCATCCCATCTCATTCATACCAGCTGTATGGATGTTTGAAGCCATCAACCCAACTTGACATTTCTGCCCCTCCAGTTACGCTCCCCGCTCGTCCAGTATGCCAATTGGGCTAAACCACGCTTTTCCGACTTCCCTTGTGCTCAAATTCCGAGCTACGACGCTCTTCCATTACAAAATTCTTTCGGGAATCCGTTGGAGGGGAACTAATCCCAAGCACAATTATTATTATCCCACTCAAACGAAGCTCGAAACCGCCTCTCCTTCTCGTCAATCTGTCAAGATGACAGAAATAATCACCTTGTCACTCAACAACGATTCCTCCCCTCTCCCTTCGTTGCTTTGTTAGTTTATCTGATTGTTGTTTTGGCCAACAAGAGAAGTCTCTTTCATCATGCTTTCTGGGATAATGTCATTGAAACTGAGCGCCTTTCCCTGTCCTCGTGGTTTCAGCAACTTTCTCCAGGCCCTGCCATCGTGGCAACTCGTTTATTTCAACCTTCCTCATCAACAGAGTACTTGAGCCATGTCTCGCCCTTCATTGTCTGTGTCTCCCGCTGCTACTGGCATCCTCAATCCTCACTGCCAGCCACTCTGTATGACGCAGCCACTCCAATTCTTTTACCCGCCTTGTCCGTATTTCTAGATTCGCTATGCAAGAATTATCGCAGGATGTCTATGACGAATCAGAGCAATATCTGGACAAGGTCTACTCGTCTCTCAACTGGCTGCCAGATGGCCCATGGAGCACTCAAGAAAAACAACCCAAACAAAAACTAAGAGATATCGGATTTCGAGGCCCGATTGAGGAACGAGATGCAACCAATGAGTTCCTCTCCACAGAGCTGATATGCCAAGGAGACGCTCGGGAATTCGAATTCCAGGTGATTCGAGCTCTCTCCAAGTCATACGCAGCATTCAGGCGCCTCCGCGGGAAGGTCAACGTGGAAGTTATCACGAACCTCCTCGAGGACGAACCATTCCTGCCCCGCGACGAGCTCTTAGCACTCGTCAATGGGGCGTATAAAGCTACCCTTATTAGTCATCCCGAATTGAATGCATTTGGTACACACGAAGAGCTTCCGCATAATCACAGTGCCGACTTGGAGGAATACTATAGGCTCTTCAGAGGCATCGAAACTCGTACATGCGAGAATGGAGGCGCTCAAGTCTCGTTCAAAAACGTCATCTACAGAGATGATCCCACCAACGACACGCAACGGGCCTACAGGGCCTTCTTACTATCCTGGATGAACCAATCCGATCTCAGCAATCCCAAGCTTCTGGCCCATCTCATCATAAACCGAATGAATTGCGACCCCAGTGCCTTTACATTCGCAGACTGGGAAGCACTGCATCTTGGTCGAGCCAGCAAGTTGTTCCTGCCCAAATTTGTGGACAATCGATTCATTGGGATTCTCACTCCAGATGATGTCCAGAAGGGCATACAGATGGGACTGAAACGAAACGCCCCCTACTTCTTTTTCGTGGACGACTTCATTCTGATATGCCATACTGACCAACGAGACGCTGACCAAGACTGGATGTTTGAACATCTACGCAAGAGTGGTCGCCTCTTTGCCTGGGCCGACGGCATCCATCTCCTCCATACCCAAGCCCTGCTTTACCGAATCCTCTACGGTGTCACCAAAGCAATAGCAATTAAAAGCGGCCAACCAAGAGGAGAAGTAGGCGCTGAAACCGTCGACAATGACCGCGTCGATGCCTGGACAGAAGCACACCGTCCAGAAAGAATCTTCTACTTTGAAAATGAGGGAATAGTCGAATATGGGCTGTACATGCCACCAGCCTCTCTCGACCGAAAATGGCTTGACGAATTCAAGACAAAGTTCACACGGCAACTTCAATGGTCAAAAGATCATTTGAGGAACCTTTGGCTTGATCCATTCTATTTCCAGCAATGCGTCGATGAGCAATTTCAGCAGCACTACGGACACGTATCCGAGCAACCCCAGACCTCCGTCCACCATGTTCCAAAGAACGCAGCAATGGCGGTGTCATACCAGGGCGAACTTCCTCATTTTTTGGCACGCGACATTGACGCAAAGAAGAGTCTGATCAATGACATCGTCAGACGCGTCGTTCAGTGGGCTCTATACGAATTCGAAATGTGGCAATGCCTGGTCAGCAAAATCGATGCCTTGTGGAACCTTGCTCGTGCCAGCGGCGTGAACCTTTGGTGCTCAGAAGACTCCCAGCGTCTAGAAATACCAGACGATCAACCTGAAGTGAAGGAGGCCTGGGTTGACTTGGGCTTCCATGCACGTTGGTTTGTGGAGCGTCGAATCAACCACGTCGTCGGCCATGGCGGCTTGTTTGCCACCGAAACAACCCGGCATCTCTTTCGTCGAGATACTGGCTGGCCGAGTTTGCAAGTAGTCAAGGATGATTGGGACCTACCCAAGGAGTATGCCGGTATCAAAATAGACTTCACTATAAGGGGCCGTGAGTCGGCAACACACGGGGACGCAATGGACATTGACAATAACGACATGAACGAACCTGATATCGAAAACTTGGATAGTCCAACCTGGTGGTCAATCAAGAATGTCCACACCGGTCTTACGAGCAACTTCAGCATTGGGACCATTGGCTTACCGAAGCTCATCCGGGCCTTGCGCACTAAGCTTTATGAGCGACACGCAGAACTCGGGGCTCAGACGACAGTCACAAGAGACTATGAAGCTATACACTTGACAGGCCTACTCTGCCACCACATGCAACTTGTACATCCATTCGGTCAAGATCTCTTGGATGCCGAAGGTCGCAGCACGCGGCGCCGTGAAAGTCCAGTAGGCCCCTTTCTCATTGGTTTTGACGACGTACCATTCGAGGATCTTGTGCAAGAGGAGACGCTGAGATACACGCAATGGTTGCTCGGGGTCGTCTACAAACCGCATGGAGACAAAGACTACGGCCGGCATTCGTTGCTAGCCCAGTTGTGGGTCAAGAGCTTTTGGCAAGAACTCTGCAACGGGCTTGTAAAGTCGACAAAAGAACTGGAGTGGGAGGAGTCAGAGGAGTCGAAGGATTCAAAGGGTTCGAAGGTGTTCAAGAAGTCAAAGAAGAAAACGAGCCCTGCGGGCGGTGGTAGGGGTGGCGGCGGTATCGCGAGGCACGGGAGTAAGAGGAGCAAAGTCAGCAAAAATGCAGCGACGCCAAGGTATTGTCGACCGGCCGGTGTTCAACGATATCTCGCTGCCGAACCCCCTGGCAAAATCGACTTGGAACTGAAACGGCCTTGGTACGATTGCAAGAAGATCTGCGGAGAGATCATGACTGTCGCGCCCCCGGACCACCGCGAACCTCCCCATTGGGACTCTCGTCTACCCAAGCTCGTAGTGGTGTCGACTCCCGAGGATAAAGAGGCAGAAAAAAAGGACGAGACGGATAAGGTCGTCATAAGCAGGTCGGTTTGGCCGACCATACAAAGTATTTGGAACCACGGTGTAGCGGCCGTTGACAAGAGGAACATTTTTGAGCTCTTTAGCGCGTTCAACTTCGCCCGCCAGACCATGGAGGGATCTCGCGAGAGGTTCAGCTGGACGCCCCATTCCGCGTTTCCGGAACCGACTGGAGCGAATGGGGAGCCCGAAGCGGCAAGTATCACGATTCACTTGCCGCACGATGCCAGCGATAATATGAGAAGCGACCAGCGTCGGTGGCTTCGGGAGGCATTCGCCAATATGGGCATCACGGAAGAGACTATCAAGAAGTACTACTATTGTCAAGGTGAATTTGCAGCTATGCGGTTTGGAATCTGAGCAAGGGAAAGAGAGGGCGGAATCCAAGGCGTTGTACAATGGTAACTTTGGATATCTTTGAGTTTCAGGGATTACCTCGCGCATGGGGATAGACTAACGATGGAGTATTTGTTTTTGACCAAGACGGACGTCCTCTGAACTTTGCTACTATTTGATACTGTCATGTTGGATCCATTGAATGCCTCCCAAGACGAGTCTCTCGTGCATCACCAGGTGAGGCCCCTTGCCTTTAGTTGCAAACTTTGCCTATCCCAATCCTATCCCATCACTACGGTGGACCTCAAACCACCCTCGCCGGTCGCTCCGTCGTCACACCACCAGACCGACCCAACTCACTCCCAACATCTCTGATCCTCCACAGTTCCCACAGTAGAATCACCGCCAACGCTGCCCCGAACGGCGGTGGTACTCCGTCCCCTGCGCGGTCCCAGATCCACGGGCACGAGGACGCGCCGCTTGACGAAGCGCATGTACAGGAGGAAGCAGAAGAATAGGAACGCAACGACCATGGTGAAGGATAAGATGCCTACCAGGGCGTTTACGCTCGAGTCGCTTGCCATTTTGGTGTGATTTTGTTGGAGCTTGCGATGCTGATGAAGATGTGAGTTGATCTTGTTAGTTTCAATGTCCGAGGACCTTGATAGCAGTGGGTGAGTGGTGGATGTTTTTGGTGGCGACAATCATAACCAATCGATAGTTGGCTTCTTTTATACAAGTCGAGGTGGTCTCAACAGCTTACGTTCATCACGGCTATCAACGCTTGATTTGATCGGTGGAAGTAGTGAATCAGCCAGCTCTCATGCTCAACCAGGCGGTGTGCTGTTTTCAAGGTAGTCACGTCAAGATGCGACATCTACGCGGGCAGCATATATATCAAGCGCCGTGAATCATTCTACATCACACGGCGAGGAGTAAGGACTAAGCTCGTAAAGATGTCAAGCGATTATGATTATCAGGAGACTATCCCATATGTGACAATACCGAAAACCCAGATCCCGAAGCCATCAAAAGCAAAGCGAAGGGTATAATGCTATGTGCAGCCCACCAAAATGTTGTATCCCCGTTACCTGATTCCCCGAGAACCGACCTGTCCCGGTCTGTACCGTACCATAGACACCTGTGAAACCCGTGTATTCTCAGTCGCCCTGTCCGCACATTGTCCGTTCCGATCCCCTCCTCCTCTTTGACTGTCTTCTAGAAAGTCTTACATGATTTGACCGGCCCCAGTCCAAGTTCTCCCCTGTTCTATCCCAATCCCTTTCCCCTTCGCGCCAGTAAAGATAAATGCATAGATAATATGAGATGTATGGGAGGTAGAGAGAGAGAAGGAGAAGGAGAAAGATAATGAAAGCGCTGTATAGGATATGTTGGGTGTTGTGTTGTGTTGTGTTCTGTGAGGGAGGGTTCAGAGCAAGGAATGTCGTTGTAGCGCAAGTGATGTGATTGTAGCGATGTGGAGGTGATTGTCGTATATGGTTGAGATTGCCGAGACGTGATCCAGATAAGCGACGTCAGGTGCCCCGACGGGCCGTGGGAATGCTGCTAGCAATACACCGAGGGGGTTTGAAGAGGCGGAAAAAGTCGTATTGGTTATAATGCCAAATCGTTGGTGGGGTAGTAGTGGGCGGTCCTCTATGGGGGAATGATGAGCGAAATGCAACCGAGTCTATCACCAAACGAGCCGTAGACAAACGCCGTTGTATCCTTTCTATGCGGGCAGTGGGCAGCTCGAACTGCAGTCATTTCCTGAAACAAGTATGAAAATGTCTCGGGCAAGGAGGCAGACACATTGGTGGTGTGGAAAATCGACGCCAAGATGGTGAGCCAGCCCCAGGCCGCGAGAGTACGCGTCGTTAGCAGCGTCGCGGTCGGAGTTGCATCAGTCCGCGCCCCCGTCTTTGCCGATCTTGGGGTCAATAGCGAAAGTGCGCAGTGGAGGGTCGGACGGGCTGCGTGAAAATAAACTCAGCCGCGCCACCCGCGTTTGCGAAGCGAGTCGAGAGCCAAGGCATGTCATGAAATGCTGTGATGGTGGGGGCTGCTACTGATCTTGACCAGGAATATGCTTCCTTGTCTTTTTCGTGACATATGAGCCGGCTCGTTCTTGGTCGTTGATTTAGGGAGCGCTTGTCTAGACTTGGAGACCATGTGAATGGCTCGGGTGAGCCCTTGAAACCCATGTATGGAACACGGGAACGCCAATGCACGACCGAAGAGGCCCGGCGGGAAGGCAAGCGAGTGGTCAAAGACAAGCCGGTTGAAAGACGGGTCTGGAGAAGACAGAGTAGTGTCTGGCATTTTGGGAGCAGGCGGATAAGGCGCGGTGTCGTTCGGTAGCTCCTTGACGCAGATGATGTACGTCATGCAGGCCGGACGGATGCAGGCGACCCCTCCAAGAGGCGATCACCGGATACACCCCCAACCCATCATGCACCAAGGAAAGAGCTACTGATTGGCGACGTTGATGGTCGAGGCTCGAATCCGTTATCGAAGTGCAGGCGGACAAACGCGGCGGTGATAGGTGGTCTAGAATCGTCCCCGTCATGGATGATAGACAAAAGTGTGACCAGAGAGGCAAAGTAGGCGCCGCTTGCCCCTGCATTGTTTGCCCATCGTGACAATGCGGTGAAGGTCTAAGGGAGGGGTTCATCCATACTGAAAGCTGTCGAAAAAGAGGGCAATATCGAAAGGTTCCCCGCCTCCTAGAGCATGGAGACAGGCTCAGAGAGGGAGAGACGGGATGATAGGCTCTCAGCTAGGATGGCGAAGGAGGGGGGGGGAGAGGGAGGGTCGAGGATGGTGCGTCGGGGGAAAAGTGGCTCGTAATCCCCAAAGTCGATGCCGGAGAGTGGAGCAGGCGGTGCCGGTCGCTGAGCGGGGCAGATGTGATTCGCCGACTCCATCTAAATCGGGAAAAGTGGATTCGGTTCCGGAAGCCTCCATTGGTCTGCGCCACAGCAGCTGACAGCACCTCCGGGGTCTCCACCCATCCACACCGAAAAGTCCTACTCGGTAGTAGTGTAGATGCTCATGCTCAAGCTCAAGCACCGCACTGCTTGCTCCCAGTGACAGTCAACCCGGGACCAAGACAAGGACTGCAACGGGCAGATGCACATGTGTGTGACCGGGGGGGAAAGGGAATAAACCCGTGGACCCCTACACCACACCCCCATCTTCCTCGTGCAGCCCGTCCAAAGTCGCAACCTGACCATCCCCAATCAAGTCAACGACGTACGACTTGCTCTCCGACGACATCTCTTGATGCTTCCCTTCTCTTTGTCCAGCCCTGCTCTTGTTCCCGTGTTTCGCTCACGCGGTTGCCCTGTGTCTCCAAGCCCCTCCCGCACCCCTGGGCTGTGGTCCCAAAGTAGTGACTCACTCCATCAATTCTTGACAAGACTTGTTGTGTTGCTTCCGGGATATCACGCTTGCGCCTCACCAGACGCGAAGCACCTTGCCTCCTCGGCCAGGTCGTCGTCGCTCACCTGGCCCGCCGCCCGTCATGCACCCTCACTCCCACCTAGGAGCCTCCGCGGCATCAAGCCCGTTGCGCCCCGTCCCCGTATCCGCCACCACCGTATACTTGGTGACTCGGGGTATGGTGCGCAGTCATGGACTGATACTGCTCTGCATAGGTAGTTGGTGCATGCATCGCTGGTATCGTAGGATCCCACCGTCCAGGGGCTGAAGGCGGTGTATGCTGGTTTCCCAGCGGTGTCTGGAGCCCGCCGCCGTACGAATGGCTCGTCATCGACCGACTATCATAGCTGCTGACAGCTGGTAGAGGTGCAGCGAGACGTAGTCCAGATTGCCGCGGGGACACTGATGTAAGTGCGGGAGAAAGGTTGCGCGGTGGTCCTGTCGAGTACGCCGGCCAGCTGTGCGTGCTGCCAGTGATCGACCGCGGTGAGGTCAGCCCTTCGTGGTGGTGGACTTGCGATGGCACACCATAGGCACTGACATGGTCTGATGCAACAGTCGGGGCTGGCGGCGTCGGGAGCGGCGGAGGATACGCGTTGACCGGCGTGGGCGTCAAGAGGTGCGAGGCTGGAAGAGTCGATGAGGGGCTAGCGCTGTATTTGCCAATGATCTTCTTCAGCGCCGATTCCAAAATCTTCCACGGGAAAACTTTGACGTCCTTCTCAATGTTCCTCGGCTTCGGGTTCGGGAATCCCATGATGATCTTGAAGAATTCCTCCGAGTCGGCCTTGGCTTTGCTGACAGTCAAAGGCCTGAAGCCCTCGAGGTTGCGGCGGATGCGGTTCTTCTCCTCCACAGTGAACCTGGCTGGAGCAACGACAAGCTGTTCCAAGAGGTAGATAGTGTCCACAGACGTGACATAACACTCGTTCTTCTCTGCCCACCAGATGCAGCTGATGCAGATACTGTTGGGTGGTCTCTCATTGACATTGACAGGTCGGAAGGTCGCCGTGAGCGTCGGTCCCGTCTGTTTCTTACTGAACATGACGATGCGTCTTCGGTTAGACCACTCCTCGGGGGACCATTCGTGGGACATGGTATCGAGCTTGCCAACAATCTTCAGTTGAGCCTTGTTTGAATAAGATCCCCAGTGGTTGTAACCAGACTGCTGTCCGCCTCCCGGAGAGCTAGGGATCGAGCTGGTCCTGACAAGCAGAGGCATCGTGGCAGATGGCATCGGCAGCGGCGTCAAGCTAGGACGGGAGATTTGCGTGTGCGTAATGGGGGGGCCAGGCGTTCGTCCGTATGCCTGCCATCCGGCCATCGGCGGCCGCAATGGCGGGGGCACCGCTCGGGTGTAATGCTGCTCCGGGAAGGAGTTGGTTCGGTAAGCACTGAGCATGTTGGTGTTGTTGTTGTTGTCTTGCGAGAATGAGTTTCCATAGGGAGACTGGGCAGGCTGTTGCGGAGCTGTAGCAAAGTCGTACGTATTTGTACTGGCTTCGTTGCCGAGCTGAGTGCTTGCTGACCTGGGGGACTGATGTTGCTGTTCAGGTGACTTGGACATCTTCCTCGTGATGTCGTCTGAGCTAGCACCTGGGCCTGCTTCGTGATATACAAATTGACCCGCTGCCGCCTTGAACACTTCTTCGCCGTTCTCTGTTTCAATCAGGACCAAAACCGGCACGTTTTCGTTGGCACAGCTGGTGACCACAAATGACGGTGCATCGGCCGAGACAGTGAACATGTAGCCGTTGCTGTCCTGGGATTCTTTGGTGGGTTGTGCCTGCACCTTGTTCACGCCGAAAACGAGGGAGTAGAAAGGCGCTACGGTGAGAAGATCGTATGGCGAGTTGATCTTGACCTGCACTTTGGTGCCCGCCATTCCAGAACTTGGTTGACATGATACCACCGATGGACCTACGCTGACAGACATGTACGAGCCCACCGCACTGTTGGCGGCAAAGGCTTCCTGGTTCATCTGGGCTGCGGTGAGCTGGCCTGCACTGCCGTGCTGCGCAGGATAGGCTTGCGCTCCATATTGCTGATACCCGGCATCCTGATACCCACGGGATGAATCATACCCTGCAGGACACATGTCGTGTTAGCCATAGCACTCCAACTGGGTGTATTGCGCCAAAAGCTCTCATGGGAACCGAAAAGATCACACAAAGTCCACCAAGCTCGCCTTTTCTACAGCGGAAAAAAACGTACCGTGGATTGGGCCTGGCTGTTGCTTCCCGTAGTGGGACATGGGGAGGAGACCGCCCGGCGGGGAGTCGCCCCGAAGGTCTCCGTTGGCCCTTGCGACTGCCTCTTCGTACTTGAGAGTCACCGTTTCTGGCGAGTCAAGGCCTTCCTCGCCGATGATTATTGGCCTTTGCGGGTGGAAGTCGGGCTGTTCTCGGTGAAGCACCCCTCGTCAGCCTTACCACGATCTTCAAGATAGCACGAGGCGTTGTCGAGTGATGCGACCAACGACGTCTCGGGGGTGGCTCAACTCCACGTTGAGATGGGAAGTTTTGACTCACCTCGAAATGCTTGTAGGAAGCACACTCAAACTTCGCAGCAGACATTCAAGCTGTAGAAGAGGGTGCACTTGGGAAAGGATGCGTGGTCTGGTGTCGGGAAAATGCAACCCACTGTTTCGGGAGCAGTGTTGCAACGACAGGAAAAGAGACTATGGCCTTGTGGGACCGTCGAGGGACAAAGGGAGGAAGGGAGAGATATGTCTTGAGATTGCTGTGATTAGAGTCCGGGCGAGTTTTATTGAACGAGCCAAGGACAAGTGCGAGGGAAGGGAGAATTCCTAGTAGAGGAACGTCAGTCTCAGGATATTCTCCCGGCAGGATTGGTTTGAGACACCGTACTCAGATATGTGGATGGCGTATCCGAGCTGGCTGGTGGCGCTAGGAATTTGAGAAGATCGGCTGCTGTGATTATTGTGGAGGTTTGACGCGACTGGAATCGAGGAGCGAGCTGTAGAGGTCGGGCCGGGTGATGATACCAGGTTAAGAAGAGCGAAGCAAGTTGGAGAAATGGAGAAAGCGGGAAGGCTGAGAAGATACCCAGGAGCGGCAATCTTAAACCAAGCTCAGCTCTTTGAGGGCAGATGTTGCGCGAAGTGAACTCAGACCGATGCACCTGTCATTGGTCGCCGTGGCGCTGGCAAACCGAAATCTGAGATCAAGTTTCGGGATGACCCAAGAATTCCAACGCGTTGGTAACCGACTGAAAGATGCCGTGCTGGGACTGTTCATTGGCACGCAAGTCAGCCTGAATGCTCCCAAGGTGGAGCGTTGATGCTCCTTCGCAAGAACTGCTGGCTGGGGACGGCAAGATGCAGCGAGTGGCATGACGGCTTCTTGCTGGAGTTCGTGGCCATGCAACAGCTTGCAGGCAGAGGAAGGGATCACGTACTCAACCGTCTAGGCCGGGGTGTTCGCCAGTGTTGTGTCCAATCAGGGCTAGAGGTTGTTGACAAACAGACTGAATCCGTTGACTATGCCAAAGACGTGGAGCTGAACCGTGCTTCGTTCGTTGGTCCTGTAGGCTGATGGCGAACCTGTTCGTGAGAACAAGAGAGTTAGAAACAGGCGTCCTTTCAAGGAAACAAGCTCAAAGATGCTGCAGCACTCGTGCGTTTCTTCGGCGAGAAGAGCGGTAGGTTTGCAAGGTCCACCACGCCAGAAGTGCCCGAATATCGAGTGTGAGGTTACTCACCGGGCATGAACGGGGTAGGCGAAGGCAGAAATGGGGAAACTAGAAAAAGAGTATGAGATGGGGAGTAAGAGGGAGAGACGAGACTGGGACTCAGAAAGTCAGACTCTGTCGCTGATTTTGTTGCGGGGGTGAAGGAGGTAGATGAGGAATGTTGACGAGGTACGGGGCAGTGGTGTTGCATTTCTCGCATAGAGAGAGATAGCAAAGCCAGTCTGTCTCCCTGCAGGCCAGGCACGGTACGTGTGTTATGAGTGTTGAAGGGAAGACGACGACGACGAGTCTGTGGCGACAGAGAGGTTCGGCCGGACAGATCCACACGGGAGGGAACAGGGACCTTGGGAAGATGGATATTGCTTTTGGTCTGCTTGCCGCACTAACAGAAAGCTCACGTACCAATAGCTCCGTCTTGGGGATCCCGACTACCCTCCCTTACAGTAGTACCCCTCGTCGTTTCTTTTGGGAGAGGGCTCTGCGTCCTTCCCTAGCCAGTGGAGATGATCTGGTCCACGGGTAGCTTTTGGCGGAGGAAGAAGCGGGCAAGGAGGGAGTCAAGACCGGGTGGCATTTGTGGGGATGAGGGGAGGGGGGTGTGTATGGTAAGGGTACCTAGGTATCCATCCGTACAGGAAGCAACCTGAACGTGGTTATGGATTCTTGTAGAGGACTGGCAAGGCTGGGCAGGGATAGTGACCACCGTTGGGGATGCGAGGTTCCAGTTGTCTTATGAGCAACAAGGTCTCATTCATCTGAAGAGAAAAGGGTGGGGGAGCGGGAGTCAGTTGTTCATTGAGGAAGGGTGTTGCGCGTGTTTGAGTGGCTGTAGGTAGGTATTCGTGGATGGTGATGATGATGTGTAGGAACCGCTTCAGCTGGCGAGAGTTGGCATGCAGTTGGGGAGAGACTTGCTTCGTACAGAATTTGGGGGTGTGGCAAGGGAATAAGGCTGTCGCCCATGTTGGTGAACTGCCCTTTTCTTGCTACTCAGACACCATGGATAGGTAGGCAGGTAGGTAGCGTGGTAGCTTAACCAACTTGTAGCCCAAAGGCAAGACACGGGGCTATGGTGTCAAAAGTGAGAAAGCAAAAGAAGAGCGAAAAGTCTCTCATGCAGGGAGACTGAAGGGGAGAGACCGTTCGTAATAGGGAAAGAAGGAAACGGCCGTTGCAGGAAGAAGAAGGGGAATGACAAATGACAGGGAACATCAGGAAGCTCAGGGCGAGGGGCCTGGATCCATAGATGGGTAAGAAGAGGGCAGAAAAGAGAGAAAGACTTGAGATTGAGGAGAGGAAAAAGGAATTATGGAGGGGACTTACTCGTCAAGATCGACCGTGATGAGCGGCAGCGCAGGAGAGGCAGTACCGGGGTATTGCTGGGTAACTAAGGTACCTTACGTACAGATGATGTACAGCACAACCAAAAGACTCGCAAGAACAGGTGTTTCTATCCGCAGTGAGGTTTCGCCGTGTTAGTCGGCTTGGTGGGAAACATATAAGCAGTGAGGCGATGTCCCCTTGTCGCTTGTTGCTCGCGATATTCGAAAGATGCACGCTTATTAGGGCGGGAGAAGCTTCAGATTGACTTTTGCGTTCGGACAACAGAGGTAGGTACTGAAAAGAGAGGAAGCGAGAAAGAAAAGTGTGTGTGTGTGTGTGTGTGTGTGTGTGTGAGTGAGTGTGTGAAGGCGTGAGTGAGAGACAGACTGAGGGAGGGGGGTATCATAGAAGAGAGCGAGAATAAGAGTGAGTGTGAGTGTGAGAGGCTTGAGGCGTGTGTCGATCAACCGTAGATGGGATTTGATGTCTGCGAACTACGGGTTAGCGTACTGTGATTGGCCATAGCTCCTGTGAGCAGCTGCAGCAAACCCAATGAGCGGGAGGGTTGGGATGAACGAGAGGGAATGGCTGTAGACCGACTGTGGCATGTGGCCAGGGTTAGGATGGACTGGGGCTCATCTAACGGCATGGAGGGGTGCGGTAATAGTCTGTGCAATCGGGATACAAGCGGCACGCTCCAGTGTCACTGGATCTGGCTTGGGATACTACCGACCGGCTGAACCCTTGCATGCGTCCGTCCGCACCCCCTCAACCACCAGAGACCTCGCACAAGACCTGTCAGGCAATGTACAAGTGCGAATGTACACGAGGGATCCCCCAGGCTAAACCAACCCGTCATCCAATACAAACCCTGTGTGCTCGTGCCTTTTGAAAACGGGGGGGAGAGTTGGGAGGACGTGAGGGGGGGCCAGACGAGAGGACAAGATATGAGAGTGGCAGTACTCCGTGCAGTGAGAGAGTGTGTGTGTATGTGCGAGAACTTAGAAGCGCATGAAGCAAGGTTGGTGAGCCCATGCCACAGATAGCGTAGCTGAAAGAGGGCACATTTTGCTAACATGGCACCATCATCATGGATACCTACCAGGGAAAAGCACGGGAGCCGGTGGAAGATCAGGTGTGGGAAAAAATGGAGGAGATCGGGAGATCCGCATGAAGGGATGCAGCAAACCTGGCTATAGAGAGATGAGACTTACATCTGATTCAAAACTCAGAGTGAGATCCAGGGACCGGACCGGCTTAGACCTGATGTCTCTCACGATCGTCTTTGGATAGCTATCTGGCCTGCGGCCTACCCACCTCTAGGTAAGTATATCCGTAGATAGCGTACGATCAGCGTGCTTTCTGGAGGCTGAAATCCAAGGTGCCAATGTCTGCGCCGGTCGAGCGTACAACAGCCAACAGCAGCGCCTGGGAGCGTTGGGTTTGGCCGGTGTCGTCCGCGGCCGAGATGAAAGCCGACGGAGATCTATGGAGATCTTGAGCCCAGCAAGGTATGATACTACTAGGATTCCGTATCCGTACAGTAGGTACACTACTGGTACGGTACTGCTTCGCCTCGACCGAAAAAAGGTCGTTGGGGGTCAAATTACTCGTCCGTGTCGCTTCGGCTGCTCGGGCTTCCGGGGCGCATCTGCCAAATGACGATCTCTGATGCCGCTGTGGAGTGGGCGCAAATTGTCCCGACTGGGAGTGCTGTCAAAAAAAAAAAAAAAAAAAAAGTCGCGATAAACGGCGAGGTACTCGGTAATGTGAAGAAACCCAGACACAATTGCTTTGCACCCCCTGAATATGCTTATTTCTTCCTTCGCCTTGGTCTCAGAGGGTCGATCAATAACGCGTGATACTCTCTACCGGTAGTCTGTATTAGACAATCAAGAACTAATCAAGGGTGCTGGTGCAGATGGGGGCTCAAGCATGGCTTGCACCCTTCTCAGTTGCCGTATGGGTAGGTAGGTACACTTACGACACTGCCTCTCCGCTGAGCTGAGCTCTGCCTTTGCCTCTTGCCTGCACGCGAGCGTCAAGAAGACGCCGTGGAATTTCTGTGCCTCACCGGGGGGGTTGAATCTCGGAGCTTTCCTGCCCTGCCCCTGGCATTTGCTGCCCTGCCCTGCTCGTTTCTTTCTCGATGTTTCCTGTCACCACTAATTGGTCAGCCCAATTGCTAATAGTGCAGGTGAAGCACTCGGCCCCGGGGGCGATCAGTGGATTCATCCTCCCGCTGGAGAATAGCGTGATTGTAACCTCGGCGGTGACAGAGAGGACTGTCGGGTCAAGTCGTTGTTTGAAAATGAGGGGAGCGTGTGCTGGAAACCTGACGACACTGAACATGTCGAGAAGTGGTTGGCGATGCGCAGATGCACAAGGCATCGAAAGAGGCAGAGGCGGCGCTGTGTTGCCATCATCTCGACCTCTTGCCTCAACCTTGGCTTCTCGATCTTCTCCCACCACAGCCCATCGCAGCCCAGCCAAGCATGTTCGCAGGGCCAAGCCGGGGTTTCGCTGCCTTCAGTGGTGTGTTGACACTCGGGCTCCCCTCCATGTTCCCTACGCATACACTACTTGACTACCACACTACACCCCCTTGCAGCCAGGAGGAGGCAGCAATGCTGCACTACATAGAGGCTAGAGACGGGATGATCGACGGCGGGAAGCAAGCCAGGCGGCGACGCCTGTCAAATGGTCCAATAAAGCTAGGCGGCTTTGCAGACCCGGGCAGTTGATTGAGATCGAATCCCCGTCATTTCTGCCCGAGCAGGGCCCCCCAGCGCAGCTGAACGAACGCCCTGGTCGATATGCCTCCACAAGGGCCCAAGTGCGTGAGTGTGTGTGTGTGTGTGTGTGTGTATGTGCGTGCGTGTGGAGGGAAATGTTGGGGGTTTCGACCAACGCCGTCACCGAGAAAATCATCTAGTGAGATGTAATGCCGAGGCCACTCTGTCGGTCGACGCTGATGAGGTTCAAATCTGGGCGAATCCAAAACACGCCCGTCTTGTTGTGACCCGTCTCGGACTACGAGCCAGCACTGTGTGCGTTTCCCAGGACTCGAGAAGCCATGGCAGTCTCCCGTGTAAGCCTTGACGCCGGAGAGCGGGACGGGTTGGCGCCAGGACCGGCCATTTTATTGCTTGGGCAGAGCAGCGCAAGCAAAGATGCCTGGCTATCCCAGGGGAACGTGGAAGGGGTCCAGAAAAGAGAGTTCAAGACTCACGGCACGGAATTGGCAAGGCCTGGCGTGGCCTGGCGGCGTGGGCCTGTGAATTGACGGCCGTCTTGTACGGGAATAGACGGATCTGTGTCTGGCTATCTGCCCGCCTCCGCACGTCAACTCAACTTCTTTCCGTAGCGCCCGTGTCTCGCTGTCATGTCAGGCACAGACTTACTGTTCACAACCCAATTCCCCTCCCCGTTGGATGGGCCTTCTTCACGAGGTGCCTAGTGGGCTGGCTTGGTGGACTTGCCGCCGTCGGTTCGTTCCTAGTGGTTGTCGGAGAGTCAACAAGCGTGAGACTCGTGTCTGAGACGACTGCACCTAATTCCAATTGACGGGCGGTAGCTTGGGGTGAGATGGGAAAGGCGGGCGATGCCGCAAAGTGAAATGCGATGGGTCGATGACAGCCAGCAAGGGGGTGTGGGAGTTGTCGACGACGACGACCGATACCAGTTGGTGATGGAACCAGGACGGGTTGGGCTCCAGCAAATAGAGATTCCAGTGACCGTGACTAGTGTCGGATGGTTGGCTCACAGTGGGCGGGCAATGAGATGGCTCAACGTCGACGATGGCCTGGGAACGGTTGCGGTCTTATATTCAACGTGGGTGGTTTTGGAAAGGTCGGTGGCTTCCCGCCGCGGCGTCCTCGTTAGACTCGGTTCAACATGGCAAAGATACAAATCGATGTCTTTTTTCGAAAACGTTGGTGTAGCTCCAAGTACGAGCTCAGAGCAAGTACCGACGAACGAGCAGCTGGCTGCGTTCGCAGGCGACGCGAGCAAATGGCACACGGCCGCTGTCGATAGGCTCGAAGCAATACGTGCCTGGCCGTGGTTGCAATTCTTTCGGTTGTTGTTGGTGCTTGCTTGGCTTGCTTAGGTCCATGGGGTTTGTGTTCCCAGCCCGACAGTCGGCCAGACGACATGTCGAGAGCGAACGTTCCGGAAGTGGAGCGGGCAGCCATTTGCCCGTACTGTGTTGGGTGCAGTCACGGCCCCCATCCATACCAATGGCACCGACGGCCAGGATCACAAGAGTGAGGACGTCCCAGTCCTGAGGTCCGGGGAGCGATGTGTGCATTTGTGAGGCAAGGTACACAACCTAAGACTGCACAGGCACGCATCTAGCGGCCGGCGGCGGGTGTTACAGGAATTGATCTGGCGAGTTGCTCCTGCAGAAGACACAGTCCGCGTCTCTCTTCAAGTTGAATTGAAGAGATATTGAACGATAGGCGGCAAAGAAGGTGGCTACAACGACACCCTCACAAGGCTTGGCTCGAGGCGCCCCTGGGTACCTAGGTCGCCATGACTAGGGTGACGACTAAGATGGTAATTCGTGACGGTAAGGCGACGACTGACACCGGTAGTGGGCAGAGTAGCGCAAGTGAGGCGGATAGGGCTCCGTCTGACCGTCAAAGTCTGAAAGGGCAAACTCGAGTTGCCAAGATGGAGGCGACGAGACCATCAAGGCGAGGGTTCCTTCAGGCTTCAGGGGCCAGGAGTCATGCCGTTGCCATGTTTGATGGACGGCGAAGCTGGGCTAGCAATTGCAAGGCTATGTATCGGGGCGTATTATTCGTACGTATGCGTAGTTGGTAGCGTACGTTTGGTCAGATGGACCAGGTTCAAGCCTCGTGGGATCATTCCATTGCCCCCTTTGGAAGACTCGGGTGTTTGGAGAAGACTGGATCGACGGCTAAAGGAGGATTACAAGGAGAACCCTTGTTGCAGATCTCGCAGACAGGCGGTGCGGCGGTGGTGAGCGGTAAGCACCCAATCTCTGGCTCGCAAATGCTGTTGCTGTGAGGTTGTGGCCGACATTGAGGGGGGCGCCGAGGTAGGTTCCTGAGGTACCTAGTGGCAGACAAGGCGGCGGCAGATGGTCAGGTAGGTACTCGGTAATGTAGAAGAAGCATGACAATTAGTGACGCATACGGCCGTGATGGCGGGGACGGTGAGATAGGTGAATGGTAGCGGAGCGTTGGAGTCTCAGTCTCTCATGGTGGTAAAGTGATGAGAGGATTGAGGAAGAGGAGGAGCAGGAGGAAATGGTCCCATGGAATGAGCCACCATCCATGCCGTCTGTGTCCCGTCTGTCGTCCATCTGGCTAAGGTACCTTGGCTTAGTGCGCGCGGGAGGAGAGCGACGGCGGGCGGGAAGGAGGAGGACAGACCTCTTCCAAGAATGGACCTGCCCTGACCTGAGGAGACCTGAGGAACAAACTCGAGGTACCTGCCTTACACCCGACATGGAGGTCACGTCGGAGGCCGGGCCTTCCCTCCAGCCTCTAGGTACCTCTGTACCTATCTAAGGTATCTTACCTTACTTCCCAGCAGTAAGGCAAGAACCCTGTCACCGATCTTTTCTTTCACACCTTCCACGCCTTCCATCTTGGAGGAACTGAACCATCAAACATACCTCAGGTACGAGGTAGGTAAGTTGTCTAAGGTACGGTACCTACGCAATTACTTAGTAGGTATCGGTACCTAGCTACATTGGTGAGCTTCCAGACTCACGCAGATAAGCGACCATGACGGAGTGGAGGTCCCAATGGAATTGAAGGGGAGTCAGATCCTTAGCTTACCTAAGGTAGGTAAAGTCCCGGCCGCACCAACACCGCCCCCAAAGCCCCGACGCGGATAGCGCAAGGCAAGGGCCGCTGTCAGTCTGGTCCCGGCGGATTTCCAGCAGACATCAGGCGAGTTTCAGCAACCATGTGCCCTAGACTGCCATGGCGGCGCTGCCTGTGCCGATACCTAGTAACTCGCCTCCGTCTACTAGGCACTTAGGTAAAGTACCCAACGGACTGCTCTCTGCCTTGCCTTGAGCTAAAGTAAGGAACAAAAGGTGAGAACAGTACCTTACCCACCCGTACCTGCCCAAGGCCGGTAAGGAAAGCACTCAGCGAATACGTGCCTTCCCTAAGGTACCTTAGGTAGTGAGCCAAGACGTACCGTACCGATGTACATCGTGAGGATAGTCAAGCACGGGCGGGCAGGCACGCCATACGACGGCTTCCTGGTCTTTCCTCCCTGCCTCACTCCCTTCCTTCCTCGAATATCTTCACCTTTCCACGCCATGGAAGGAAAAGGCCATGTGTCTAAACAGGCAGGGTACTTTAGGTCCTTCTCTCAAGGGCAGGAAGATCCCAAGTCAAGGTACCTGCCCAGATACCTTACCTTAGATCTCGCACTTTTACATCCATGTGCCTCAGGTTACTTACTTCTGTGACAACGACATCTTCCTCCCTCACGGCCACCCTCAACCCAATATCCTCCTCCACCACGTTTGATGACCACCACCACCACCACCACCACCACCACGAGCAGCAACGCATCATCACCGCCACAAGTCCAACATCTGATGATTTCTTCCCCCGCTTCTGCCGCTAACACTTTCTTATTCCTTCATCGAGTCCCGTCCTGCAGGTCCCGGAGAGTAGGGTCCCCCCTGACATTTCCTCCTCACTTCTCGCCATCCTCTTGCGGCTTGCCCTCTAGTCGCCTCGTCAAGCAACCAACAAGCTTCAACCATCAAGCTTGACCTTAGGCGCTCTCCTCTCTGTTCCTCTCCCTCTGCTGCAGCGCCGCAACCTGCATTCTCCCTCGCCTGCCAGGGAGCGTGCCTCGCTAGTGTGGGAGCCAACGAGCCAACGAGCCCTTCTCTGCAGCCCGCCGTTTCGATCCTCTTCCACATCCGACTTGCTGCTCATCCGCCTCCGCTTCGGCTACACTTGCACACTTTGCCTGCTGGAAAAAGCATTCATACCGAATTTGCCAAAACACCACGAGCCTCGACTCCCTCTAGAGTCTAGGTAGAGCGTCCTCCACGGGTACTCCACGAGGTCGACATGCCCCTCGTTGGTCTAGAGGTACCTCGCATCGAGGTGCCCAGCTAATCCCTCGGGTGCAACTCTGTACAGGGCCATCCATGGACGGGTCCTCCCAGGCCCGTTATTATCGTCATCATCTCGACTCCAGCACGCTGTTCTCGTCGCTCTCTTCACCTCCCAATCCTCCCTGGCTCGCCATCTCTCACTCCATTTTACCACTCGAAGCCGCATGCGTGCTCCCTACTTACCCATGCACACCATGCGACAACGCTACCTAACACGCCGTCTTCTTCGTCCACCGGTAGATATTCTACACAGTACGTTCAGGTAGGTAGAGTCTGCTTATGCTTACTGACCTGCCCTGCGGGCTAGGTGTTTGTACGTATCTTGCCTAACACAGTCGGCCGCCTCATTCCTAGAGCAAATACAATACCGGTACCATTCGCCTACGGCCGTAACCATCGACCTCGGGCGCCTCCCCTCTACTTGTTTAGATAGCGCCATCCACTTTCCATACCTAGCAGGCTCGACACCATCATTGGCAACAGTGGATGGAAGCGGACGAGACGTAGGCCACAGGCTCTGCCGTTCATGCTCCGGTCGGCCTACTGTCCGTTCATCATGGCACATCCGCCTGATGCCGATACGCTTGCGGGTGCGGTTGCGGGTGTGGCAGGTGTCCAATCACGGCGTCACACCCTGGCTCCGACTTTGGCTCGCTTGGCTTGTCTCTCACCACGACATCTACCATGGCCCTGGAAAGCGTGGTCTTCTACCTTAGTCCAGCCCATCTCGCGCGACACACACAAGCCCGCCTTGCCTGCCCTCTCACCGACGGTCTCTCGCTTGTTACCGTTTTACCACTTCATCTTTGGTGCAACTTTGGCCACTTGTGCCCTTGTACAATCTTCCCATACGCAATCCACCTGCTTCGTCCTTGTCACCATGTCCTATCCGCCTGGCCATGTCTTTGATATGCAAGTCATCCCGCCAGGGTGGGAAGGGGCAGACAATCGGTACCTTGCCTTCATTGCTTTGCCTCGAGGCCCGCATGTTGCAGATTCGCTTCCGAGAACTAAGGTAAGAAACTCGACATGCTGATTTGCGTGATGCGAGACATTTCTACTCGGGCCCACCTCGTGGCCGTAACGGAAGGTCCAGGACCATGGATCCAGGTCATCATGATGAATAGTTCCTTCTATTCTCAACCATATCAGCTGAAGGCCATGGTACGCATGATATTGTCCGTAGTTCACAGTCACGGCAATGGGGGCGACGCTACGGGAGCACTCGAGGTAATTAGATGAGGCATTCTCCAAGCTTGGGCAACAAAACAGGACAGAGCCATTGCTTGAGAGCCCAAACGCAAATTAGCGCTCCCCCGAACCTGACAGCTGAGCCCCTCAAACATGCTCCCCATGGCGCATTCCTGGGGCATTCTTTTACCGTGTCTTGGGTCGCGTCATCTAAATTAGGGTTCACCAACAACGATGCCGAACAGGTTCAAGAGAATGAACTGCGACCCCGTTGCTGTCGACCGCCTACCCGACCGCATGCCAATGTGCAGGAGCGCGTTGCAGCGCTGATCGCTCTGTTTGTTGAGACGGGGCAATAGGCATTGAGAGTTCATTACCTAGTCCGTTTTCGCAGAAATTCTGTACATACTCCTTGATTCGCATACCCCAGGTAGCAAAGTGCCTTGCTGCTGCATGCATATCGATCGATACGCTACATTCCGGTATGATCAACTTATCAAGTTACCAACTGAGCTCTGGAACGACGTATTTAGCCGCAAAACTTCTCGGCGGGGTGAAGGCGATGATCGCGAGAGAAAAGGTCTCACCTAACAAGATCATGCACCTCCATATTGGCCTTGAAGCAGATCTTGCGCTCACCCTCGCAACACCATCGTCTGATACGATCGCTTTCTTCAACGCCTGCCACCATCAACTGCTGTGCAACACCATTCTGCGGTGCGGGAGGCGGCAATGTGATTGATCGTGCTCGAGACACCATGATTGGTCTGTGTTCCGAGCTGAGCTGGGAGAGAGTCGTGGTTGGTATGCCGAGCATGCGGCCTTGTGCTACAGTCATGTCGTTTGAACAACTCTCTGGGGCTCAAAAGAGAGCCTTCCTTGCTCATCCATGGTTACTTTCAGCTCGGTATGTTGGTACAGTCCTCGGCTTGCATACGGATAATGGCTGCTGCCGTGTCTTCACTCTCGCTAATCTACTCCAAGTATGGCCTCGTTACCAGCACAGCAGCCACACACTTCGGCATAACCACATCTCTGGGTTCCCTCGCGCTGTTGCCAACGCTCTCGGCAGCCTCACGAAAACCACCAAATCATGCAATGGCAACCTTGTTTGTCACATGACGGCATGTAGAGGTTGAGCAACCCTAGGCAAGAAAGTGAGCCATGCATAACCTTGATTTTCCCGCTCCTTCAAACTTATTATTCAAGAGACGGCAGTCATAATCGGTATCTGGGCTCGACTTGCCCAACAGTAGAAAGACGTCGGACCTCAAAAAGACGGTATACAACTTACCTCGATGGACCGTTTCCTTTACGCCACAGTGTGACAGCTTAATCATTACCTCTCACGCGCGCTCGGCAAAAGACGTTATACGACGGGTGCCCCGGACTACCTGTGCGACCTTGTTATGCGATTTCAGCCAATGCACTCATTGTCCACGAACCAGTCCTTCGGGTACTGGTTCGTGGATCGAAGACACCAGGTTCAGAAGACTTGTCTCAACTGCCCGCTCCTAACTGCTGGATCGGAGAGGGAGGCCGGCTGGGACTTCGTGCTGCTTGCCGTCGAATGAGGCACATGCCGGGCGCACACTTCAAAAGATCAATATCAATTTTGCGCTCAATGACTGCAAGATTCAGGCGCTTCGCCAGCTGTATCTTGCAAGCCATATTGCGTGCGCAATCGATTGGTGGGCAAAGTATCCCATGTATCTTCAAGTCCTCGACTCAATTCACGTCGCAGAATAGCACTGCTTTCTCTGGGCAGCGCCATCTCACAGAAACTCCGTTGATACAGCATTTCCTATCACGGCGCGCGACAAGGCCCCGGCAGCATTTGGACTGAGCACTTGACTTGTCGCCTGTCGTACCAGACGAGATCACCCTTGTCTTCTGGCTCTAATCGGCAATGGCAGCATCATCTCCTCGACGTGATTCTAGAGCCCGTGGTAGCACCCGTGATTCCAGACGACTTTGAGCGGGCGCCAGGATCGTAGCACGGCAGTATGGCACGCAAATGACAATGGTCGCACCGTTCAAGTCTCTGGAAGCTCTGCGGGTTGCCGCCAGCATACCTCATCTCGGTTTTTTTCTTCCACGATCCTGCAGCAAGGCGTGTGCAACCAATCAGCAAAAAGAAAGGAACACAAGAGGAACATCTCTCCTGTGTAGATGCTTGCAAAGATGTGTTGCGTTGCGTTTCCATACTCTATACGGAGTACCGTGACTACGGTATCCGTACCTCACTCTCGTTTAGACCTGGTCTGGTGACACGACCAAATTTTCTTTTATTCGGGATGACCATGCTGGCAATGCTGGAGTCGACCCCGACTCCCCGTTCGTGTCATGTCAGTCGGCCAAGAAGAACTTTCCAAAATAATATGAGAAAGTGGAGAGATGTTGGAATAAGAAACGAAGGCGTTTCGTGGCGTTCGGCGTTACTGGACTAGACGTGTCGTGAGGAGCTAATTCAGCGTGGGGATGACCAGCATTCGGGTTGTTTTGCGAGTCCATCGACCTATTCTGTCGCCATTTATGCGGCCCAAGACGATGCTTACAGGCTAAGCGGATAGCTAGCTCATCTACGAATATGTCATTGTCAAACTCTGGGCCTCCCTGTTCGGTAAGTCGTGCCTATAGCGACGGGACATCAACAAGCCCGTGGTCTACGCGGCCAAGGGTGCCACGGGCGGCCGCAGCGCCAACACGGCTTGGCTCGTTGCGTTGGACTGTGGACGCGGTGGGCCACGGTACGACGGACACAGTTGATTGCGATATCTTGAGCGACATAGCACTGGCCTGCCGTGCTTCCAGATCTTTCAGGATCCTGGTCGCTTCTTCCCCTCGACTCTCCAGTCTCACTCTCATGTGAATATGGGGGTTCACGAAACCCAATGGCTTGGCTTGGCTTACCCGTGAAGTTGCCGCTCACAATCTCGACTGGGTCTTCCTCTGCGGCATACTTTCTGCCCATCCACGCACGGCGTGCTTGTGCTATTGGTCCCGCGTTGATAGCTCATTAGCCTCACCGGTTTTTGTTTGATTTGCGTCCACGTGGGAGGAGTAATGATCGCCAGGACTAGCCCCTCGAGAGCTACGTTTCGCGTTTCCGTCGTGCCCAGAATGGGTCGACCTCTGATAATCCAGAGTGCTTCAAATTCCAGGCCTAGGTAGTCGAGCTTGCACTCACGCGGGGGAAGGGGGCAAATTGCTTTGGGATGCTCGTCGCTCGAGACTACCTGGACGAACGACCAACCTGGTCAATAGTCCTTCGGGAACGGGTGACCAGCGACGACGACACAGTAGAGATCGACGACAAGCATTGCCTTGCCTTGGCTCTTGGGGACGACTCCATCCGATCGGCCCAGAACTGTAAAAGCTAGGGTGCAGGGGGGAGAAAATCTCCCAACTCACCGTTACTATGGGGAGGGGCGAGCCAAGACGGCGAGCCTGCCAGTACATAGAGCATCATCAGGAATAGGCACAACGCGCAGGAGACGAGTTCCACCTAAGCCGTCCCTGATGACATCTGCATGTTCCCGTACACCGACACAGGTCTATGACAGAGAGCGGTGGGAAGCTGCATCATCTCGAGCAAGTATATTCATCAGATGATGCAAAGAGCTTGAACATGCGGTCCTTGCTTGCCGCGCTTCACGCCTACTCCACCTTCATCGACTGCCGACCTGGCCTTGCGGCCGTGTCTGGCTGATGGTTCACTTCCGATTACGGAACAGATGGTTGCCGCTCCTCAATACAGACTGGAGAGTCGAGACCAGGAACAATTACCCAAAGATCCGTGGTACGGGTCCCCTTGAGCTAGTCTGCCGCCCTAGCTGCTCAGCGCGACGTCCGAGGGCGGGAAAAACAAAGGTCGGACACCAGTTCAACACACACGGCTCCTCTTTCTTGGATCCAAGATGGCATGCCTAGCTGAGGCGCAAACCGCGCTCGGTAGCCCTCCCACGCCTGCCTCCCTGCTGGGTGGGGGCTGGATGACACCAAACGAACAACGGGATCTACGGAGTACGCGATGGCGCTTCCTAATTTGACGCGTCCTTTGAACAGACTGAGTCCAGGTAACCTAATCATCCTGTACGGTATTACATGCTTTTGCTGGCTTTCTTTTGGCTGCATGACCTGGTCGGAGACTCTGCGCAACGGTTCGGTCCCAGCATGACGGCTTGGGCGATGTTCTCCAGGGAAGATACGAGTCTGACGACATTGCTGCAAGGCATGCCACTCAATCCCAAACCGCACGACCTTCGTACCTCACCATCGCGCCTTTCCCTGCCTGCTATCTCATACGAGGTATCACTGTCTTCTGTAGCGCAATCGGCTCTTTGGTGGTCCAGAAAGTATAGCATGGGTCACCGTGGCTCTCACAGCAGCCCTCTGGGCTCTACCACCAATCTCTCGGCCAGGCATGTCACCAACACCCTGCAGGTCTCGATCAGAGTCAGTCTCGCTCGTAAAGGTCCTCTATTGGCCCAACCTCTTATGACCACCTAAGCCCCGAGGGAGTGAGGCGTTCTGCTGTGCCCTCGCGGCGATCCCACTCCTGGTTTCTTTTCTCTCGCTCCTTGTCCCTCCCTCCCTCCTTCTCCTCATGTACGGATGTACCCGAGAACTGTGACCTCCCACAGACCAGGGAGTTGACTATAGACCAACTCGAGGCGTGGTATTTGCGAAGCTCAGTGGGGAGCCCGGGGGGGCGTGGGCTGTGAAGAAAGCAGTTACCTCATGTTACTGCAACGCCTCGGGCCACATCTTGCAGCCTCTTTAGTTTGCTTGGCTTCTCAGCAGATTAGACGCTCCTCACATCTGCAAGACCTGTTGACAAATTCTCCTCAGGGTTGTGGCTTTTCTTGGAAAGAGGGGCTGACTCGTTACTTCAGCTGTCGACTGAACGGCCAGGCACTTGTGCGGGTGACACTTGATCAGGGACATCGACCGCATCTCGTCCGTATCGTGGCTCAACGACATGTACCCCCTCGAGCGCGTCTTGGCTCTGGATTGAATACCTATGGAAGTATCCTTTCCAGCAAACCTAGCAACAACCCATAATTTTCTCGTCTCCAGTGACGGCACTTTACTCTCAGATCTTTCCATGGAACGTTTCATGGCTATGATGTTCCCATATCAGGACGCCGATCCGGCTCCATCACCTCCGCGGTTTCCAATCGATCGAAATCGCGTGGTCGAGGGATGAACATTGACGAACCCAGGGAGGATTTACCGCTCACCTCGGTCGACCTTTCATCCTCGGACAACGGAGCTCTCTCTTCTTTCTCTGGAGGCCCCTGGAGGAGGGACGACATGACGACTTTTGTCCGGGGGCGCCTCGGGATCGAGACACGACATGCTTGAATAGGCGAGTCCGGATGCTCGGCGGATCAGGGGCTCGGATCACGTTCGTCCCACAGTACATGTAGGCTATTCCGTCAAATTGGGTCCAAGTAAGACGCGAGAAAGAAAGTGAGAGAGGGAATAGCTTCCTTGGAGTCTCCGTAGAGTACCATGTCCACTGCAACCCGGGTCATATCGACGCGTACTTCGCCTGTTCTTGCCTTGCCTTTCGTGATAATGACATTGTTGACCACGGTGAATCGGGCCACGGGGTTACAGGTGAGTTTGGAAAGCGTAGCTCAGAGTCAGGTGAAGAGGGGGTCAAAGGAGGCCCCGGACGTGATCGGAGTGATATTGGCTTCCTACGCGGGGGCTTCCGTGGTCTCTGCTGGATAGCCAGGTTGTCTTGGAAAGGGGGTTGTTTGTTGGGCTTTAGCTTTGGGCTCCTAGAGTATGTCGTAGATGTTGTCTCGTAGCGGCGACGCCTGGAGGCTTGGGCGAGTCCGTATGTGCCGGTCCGAGCCCGATACGACTGCGTCTGTGGCCGGAAATGAATCAAGGCAATCTCTGTGGACGTTTCCCTTGGTTGGTGTCTGTTGATTTTTGAGGTCATTGTCGTCTGATAGAGGAAGAGTTGGGCCTCACGTTGAAATCGTCGTGAATATCCAAAGGGATTTGGTGTTGCCTTGCAACGCGTAGTAGATGAAGACGTTGCTTACTTACTTCGTCAAGGGAACAGTCACCTCGTGGCCCCTATCTACGATTTTCTCATGACCTTGAAGTGAAATTCCAACTAGTTCGCAGATGCTTTCCTTGATTTTTCTCATTACTGAAAGATATGTTGGCTTTTGAGATTCAACGATGTCACCTGTCAGGGAGTTTGGAGGAACAAGGATGACGTTAAATGACCCTTTAGGTATATTAGAATCCTTTTTCTATTCTCCTCTTTTCGTTTGAAACCCTCTTATCCCTCAGGAAACGCCATTATGCTTCACAGTATTGGTGTTCATCTCACATCCTGATCCATTTCCACGTCAATGATCACAATAGAGCGATCGCTGCTGTTTTCCAATCATCTAAGTTTGCCTCAGCTTCCACATTGAAGGTCCCGAGTCACTTCATAGTTCGTCCTTCACAGCTCTTTGCGTACGATCATGGCTCTTGGCCTTGAAGCCATCTCCAGGTTTTGCGATTCTCCTTAAACGGAATATCTTGGCCCCATGACTGGGCACCGAAGCCTTCAACACACCTCTGGCCTCGACTTCGCCAATTTTTTGGCCAAACAGCCTCGGGTCCTCCTTCTCCAGGCCGATGGCGTAAGAAGTCTCAGTAGCATTGTACCAGTTCGCGTCCTGTAGAATCTTGACACGCGCAACGTGGCTATCAGCTGTGAACAACGACTCTGCCGTCTCCGTAGGCATCCTATCGGCCCAGAGATCGTGAACGGCCCATTTAGACTTGACCTGCGGCGCCGAGCCACCAGGCCCATCTGCCACGAAGATCTCCGCGAGCGAGGACTGCATTTCAATCTCCGCGCCGGCGGCGTTGAGCAAGATGACGACCTGGTCTCCGTTTTCCAACCGCCCACTCCAGACCTGTGCTTCAGCAACGCCAAACTCGTCCGGAACCAGATCCCCTCCAACATCCCTCCTCACCCTCAACGCGCTGCGGCCGTGAGGATCCTGACTGATGGCGATGATGGCCGGGTTGTTCACGATACTCAGCGCCTCGGCGGGCATATCCCGCAGATCGTTGCCGAGCATCAGCGGCGACTTGAGGGCGGCCCAGAGGGCGAAATGCGCCTTGTACTCCTCGTCCGTCATGCCGCCCTGGCCGACCTCGAGCATGTCGAGGTCGTTCCAGCCGCCGGGGATGCCGCGGTCGGCGAAGGTGGCGACGCGGTTGATGATGAAGAGGACGGAGCAGTGGGTTCCTGGCGCGATGCAGAAGGGGTCCGAGGCCTGGTTGCAACTGCAGAGGTCGTCGGGGCGGGTGAAGGCGTCGTAGATGTCGCCTGACATGCGCCATGCATTTGAGATGGACATTCCCCACTGCGAGAGTGTTAGTAAAAGATGTACAGAGATCATAGAGATGAGATGGTAGCGAACTGTATGAACGTAGTCTTCGCCCCAGTTACAGAGGCTCAGGGCAATAGGGCGGCCCGTTGCGTTGAGGGCGTCGGCCATGACTTTGAAGCGGTTGAAGGAGATTTGCGGTGTTCCCATGCGGCCCATATGGTAGCAGTTGTCGTATTTGAGGAAGTCGACGCCCCATGCTGCGAAGCTCTGAGCATCGTCGTGTTCATGATCGAGAGAGCCCGCTATCTTGCGTCAGTGTTGTCCATCAAATCATCATTCTGATAGATATGGAAAGAGTACTCACCAAATCTGGCACAAGTCATCTCGCCAGCACTTGAGTACATGCCATACTTGAGTCCCTGGCGATGAAGATGATCCGAGATGTATTTCAGTCCATTAGGAAACTTTGCGAGATTTGGCTGGAGCTTTCCCTTGGCATCGCGGCCATTCTCATCTTGCCAGCAGTCATCCAAGACTACGTGGTTGTAGCCTAGGTCGCGGAGACCCAGACTGACAACACGCTCTGATGTGCCCAGAAGGAGGTCTTCGGAGACGTCGCACGCGAAGGCGTTCCAGTTGTTCTGATGATTGTAAGTTGAGGTCAATACTTCCGAACAGGTTCTTGTAACTTACCCAGCCCATCGGAGGTGTGTCGGCCAGTCCATTGCTGAGAGCGGCAACCCGTCCAGCGGCTGCGATCGCGGCCGCAAGACTGAGCGATTTATATGACATCTTGTATTCAAATTTCAAACGGCAGAACCGAAAACAGTCTCTGCCTCACTCTCAAGACTTTGATAGGGACGACGAGAACTCAATGTCGGCACCTTCTTATACAGATCAGAGTATGGAGAGAAGTGGCATCGTAGATCCATCCAAACCCCGCCATCGTGGCTATCGCACGTTCGTTCTGATGCGTTGCTCTCCGACTTACATGATGCCCGTTCCTGCTGCGAAGTGGGGGGCTCAGAGGGGTCGACATCAGACGGTGAGGTAAAGCCAAGACGAACAAGGGGCGGAAAAGTCGTCGAGTTTCCCGCCTCTTCTCCGCAGTGTTGCAGCAACGACCCTCCCGAGTCATGCAGGCGCACCCGTCAGTCAACCGGCCTGAACGCCGATGGGGCGAAAATCACCGGCCGTGAAGGAGACATCACCGGAGGCCAAGACGTACCCCGCTACTGGGCAGAAGATGTGTTGGTTGAACGGTGTATTTCTCGGAGTCAGAACATCGCGAGTTACCCTCTGTCACGAATATGAGCCGCTTCACGAGTTGTCTTGCCTGTCACATGTTGCAGCAAACATACTATTCAAATCCACTGCATTGAGATGATTGTCTCCATCAACGGGCCAAGAGTCCGGAAGCGGTTCCCCAGCTTCACTACACAGGTCCGGCTCCCCTCACCGGGGGCCCGTCCATCCACAATGACTCCATCTCCTCTCCGTCTCCACGTTCCTTTTCTTCCATTGGCTCCGCGAACTCAACCAAGAATCTCAACATCCAACGGTCCAGAACAAAACTCGTGTCGATGCTCGTACGTGCCGTCTGATGGAATGCTCTTAGACGGCTGATGGCCCGGTCAGTAGTAGGCCAGTAACACCGTAGTTGCATCAGCAACTCGAAATTCCTCTCCAGCCTCCTCCGAGCTACACCAATATCCGCCTCATCCCCACTGAATAAGAGTGTGTGAATCTGTACCGTCGACGCGATGACGAGTACATGCGCCGTCATTGTGTACCGCACGTCCGACCCGGCAGTTGTCTGGGTGCGGTAGACCATATCACATAAACGAGCCGCGTGTTCCTTGCAGCGCTTCGCGTACGAGTCCCTTCTTGCCACAGAGGCTGAGGCCGTGGGGTTGATGGCTGTCGTCGTCGCCGCGCCGTAGAGAAACTGGTAATACAAGAGCTGGCCAAAGTGGTAATAGCCCAGGTAAACGGCCGCAAATGTTCGGCCCTGGCCCCGGGCTGCAAACCAAGCAAAGTTCTCCGGGGTATCACGCATATTCGCCGGAAGTGCGGCGAGCCAGTCTTCCATTCTTATGCTTAGAGACTCAACGCCCTGCTCGAGGACATCCCAGGTAGGGTTATCCGCAACGCAACGCTGGTTAAAGTCGTTGACGTCCAACAAGATCCTGTTGAGTCTTACCATCTGCGAGAGGAGTTGAGAGCTTTGTGCGGCCGATGCCGTACCTGTTACTCCGGCTCCGCTGCGGCTCAACGAGAGAAACGGTAGATCGTCCATCGGCAAGGGGATGTCAGATCTCGCCGGGAGCAGCTTGGGTAACTTCACCGCAGTGGAGGACCACACGTCGATCATGCAGAGCGACCACCAGACTGGAACCCGGCTTGTCAGCTTTTGAGTTCGTGCCTTGCATAACACAGTTACAGATGAACGTGGCCAACGGGTAAACAATGGGGAATGGAGCCTCAATCATACCCCGTATGTTGATCTCTCGTTCCAGGAGACTGGTAGCCGGTCTTCCTGGTAGGTCAAGCAGCTGCGCCATGCGGCATGCGACGCCGTAGTAGATGTTTTCTGATTCTCCATCGCCATTGGCAGTCAATGCTGCCCCTATCAACACGCTGAGTTGTATCGTTGGCAGAGATACATCGCGTAGGTTTAGAAGCGCCTCGGCAGCTTGTATGTAAGCATGGCTTCTATCTCGAGGGTCAACGTCTGCAAACTCCGGGTCGGTTGAGAATCTACGGTATCATTAGACTTGTAATTTATCCCAACTCATCGAATCCACATGTTCTGCTTAGCAGCATAAGAAAAGACGCACCTCGCAGATAGCGCGCAGATACCAAAGAGGATGCCGTGGTGCACTCGGTCGCCGAGTGCATCCTCGATGAAACTCGGCCGATGGAAGAGGGAATGGAACTGGTCATGGATGTAGTCAAAGTAGAGTCTGACGAGGTCCAGCCGCACCGGCAGACTGGGCAGTGCGGCGGCGGCTTGTGAAGTGGTCTCACAACGGGTGCACCAGCCACCACTTTGAGATGCAGACGATGCACTTCGGGCTGCTGCGTTGTAACTACTTTGCTGATGTACGGATAGGTCCCGCTCGTCTACTAGGCGTTCTTTACGCTGATTCTCTCGTTGCTCATAGTAGCCTCCCTCGGGCGGTCTTTGATCGCATTTGATGCCCCTCTCGTTGCAGTAAACGCAGTCGACGAGGCCCTCGCGAGTTTGACACTTACGCCTGCGAGCCCTAGGAGATTTCTCGTTAGATCACAGGGCGGCATGGAAGTGTCATGAAATGTCCAAAATGGGACGAGTATGTTACCGGCACGCAGCACAAGCCGAGGGTTTCCGCATGCCAGCGGGGCCGGAATCCCCTCGGACTGAACACCGCCCTTTGGTTGTGTATATGTCGTGGTCTTGTCCGCAGCAAGAAAAGGAAGCAAAGAAGATGGGGCGATTACAAGCAGCAACTGCAAGAAGCGCAATACTACGTCGAGAATCCCGATTTCTTCCAAAGATGACTAGGGTTGTATTTCACCACGCGGTGGTTACCCGGCCGAGTTGGTTCGACCGGGACTCAAGAGACTCAAGAAACCCCCTCCCCTGCCGGGCGGTCTACCACGGATCGGGAAAAGGCGGCGGGAAACGTGCGGAAAAGTCGCTCAAACCTTGCCCTGGACAACTGATCGGTGACACCCACAAGCCGTTGGACGAATGATCGCGTCGCTTTGCTTCCCCAAAAGTCTCGACCGACCGTTGCTCCCAACCCCGGAGAATTCCCCATGGGACCCTCATATGATGCAGCAGACTTTGAACTTGTTGTACAACGTTGGCACGTTGGTTCCTCGAAACGTCGGATTGCCAATGTTGTCCCCTTCACCTTCATTGGGTTCTCCGCATTGCCTCGGCATTAAAATGAAAGTGGTCGGATTAATCTGATGTTGGGACTGGTCTCTCAGAGTTTGGCACTCTCAGGGTCGCCAAGTCCCTCGAGTCGTCCCGTGGTAATGGTAGGTTGCAAACAGCTTCCCCGCCTTCACTTTCTATAAATGCGACGCTGTGTCCCATTGTTGGGGATGGTTCTGGGAATAACCTCATTTGTAGTCGCCTAGGCTTCAGGTACTCTCTCGCAAGAGTCTTCAGCATGGCTCAGACAAAGACTGTGGGCGCCGAAGCGGTGCCAACCGTCAGCCACCATAATGACAACAACCCTGGTGAGGCCATCACGGCCATGCAGAACGAGCGCCAGATGAGCGTGAGGGACTCGTTTCGCTTCTGGCCGAAAGCGATTCTCTTTTCCTTCGTCATCTCTTTGGCTATCATCATGGAGGTATGAGAATCTTCGGCCTCTTTAAAGCAAAGGCGCGACTGACTTCTTAAAGGGCTATGATACCAACCTCATGAGTAACTTTTACGCCTTTCCGGCTTTTATGAAGCGGTACGGCGACCAAGTCGATGCCAATGGTGACCCTCTGGTCTCGGCTCGCTGGCAAACCATCATCAACAACGGCACTCAGGCGGGCTCAATTCTTGGTCTCATCCTCAATGGCATCATCACCGAGTGGATTGGCTACAAGAAGACCATGATTGTCGCAATGGTCGCCATGATCGGGGCCGTCTTCATCCCCTTCTTCTCCAACGGTCTTCCAATGTTCTTGGCTGGAGCCTTGATTCAGGGCATCCCCTGGGGTATCTTCCAAACTCTCGCCGTTACCTACGCGGCCGACATCTGTCCCATGTCACTCAGAGGTTAGTTGTCTGTCTGAGCGTAACTGGCTATATTCACCTATTAACTTTAATGGCAGGATACATGACGTCTTGGGTGTATGTTCGATCGAGCCCTCTTCCCAAGGAGTCTGTCAGTATTGCTAACAAAGGCTTCTAGAAACATGTGTTGGGTCATTGGCCAGCTGATCAGCAGCGGCATGCTTCGAGGGCTTTTGCAAATCGACAATCAATGGGGATACCGCATTCGTAAGATAACCCGGATGACCCTATTATTGAGGATAATCGTTGACTCAAAACTCATCGCAGCATTTGCGATTCAATGGGTCTGGCCCGTCCCCATCATCATTGGCACGCTCTTCGCCCCCGAAAGCCCATGGTGGCTCGTCCGCCAAAACCGCCTCGAGGACGCGCGCGAAGCAATCCTCAAGCTTACCTCTCCAAAGAGTGACATTGACTTTGACCTCGAAGCCCACATCGAGATGATGCGTGTGACGAACCAGTTTGAGATCGAAGTCAGTTCAGGCGCTCACTACTGGGACTGCTTCCGCGGCGTCGACCTTCGCCGCACTGAGATCGCGTGCATGGTCTGGCTGACGCAGTCTTTCTGCGGTGTGCCGTTCATGGGCTACGGCACGCAGTTCATGATCAACGCCGGTCTCAGTTCCGAGAATGGGTTCACGATGAGTTTGGTGCAGAACTGCATCGGTCTCATCGGCTGTATCATTGCTTGGTACATCATGACTCACATCGGCCGTCGCACTCTGTACCTGGCTGGTCTATCGGCCATGTTTGTGATTCTCGTCGTCATCGGCGGCATCGGTATTCCACAGGACGCTGCTGGGTTGCCGGCTCGGTCATGGGCCGTAGGAGCCCTCATCATCGTGATGCTCTTCTCTTTCCAGCTCAGCGTCGGTCCCTCGTGCTATACCTTGGTCGCGGAGATGCCGTCTACCCGTCTTCGCGTCAAGACGGTCGCCTTGTCTCGCGCCTTCTATAACTGCGGAGGCTTCCTCGTCAACGCGCTGCAGCCAAAGATTGTGGGCAAGAATGATTGGAACTGGGGAGCCAGAGGCGGCTTCTTCTGGGCCGGCATCACGGTGCTTTTCCTTACGTGGACCTTTTTCCGTCTTCCGGAGCCCTTTGGTCTTACATACTCGGAGATTGACTTGCTCTTTGAGCACCGTGTTGGCGCTCGTCACTTTTCGCAAGAGGCGGCTGACTCTCTACGCCCGCAGCTGGAAGAGGTCGCCAACCGTCATGAGAAACTGGCTGCTACGGTGAGCCATCAGGAGGCATAGTCGAGTGAAGACTTTGATCACGCTTAATGAACTTATCGTCTTTTGGGTAGGAGCAAAACCTTCCAACCGTGGTCCAGTAAAGAGGCTTAATCAACAATGCTCCAGTCTAATCGATTATATCTAATAAAATAGACCTCTCATTGTAGCTCACTTTCATGCATGATGTGAAAACATCTTCGTGAGAAATCATAGTCTACTTCCTGCTATCCACTGACATGCTTTCCCTGGTTATAGCAAGACGGATCCCGGGATAGTTGCAATACTTCATTGGAATACGCATTATGTCCAAATCTTTGCACCGCAAAGCTTCAAATATATCATAGTGGGGTCTGAGGTGTCCTCAAGGCCCTACAAAGTTGGCCACATTCGACGAAGAGAATTTAAGGAGCCAGGCTGATGCAGCCGTTCGTGCTGTCCTCCTGGAAGATACCGCTGTAGACGATGCCCTCATCGATGCCGTCCGGCTGGAAACCATTCTTGGTGATATCCCCCTGACCTCCGACGGGCTTCTTCAAAATACCAAAGTGGTATTGACCCTGACCCTTGATATCGTTGATCTGGGGTTCCCCCTGGGCCTCCAAGTCGTTGTTATCGGTCGAGTAGAATACCTGGACCGTGCTGAACAAAGTGTTAGTATCCTATGACGCGCTTCAGGCTCGGGAAGTACTCACTTTGCGGTGAAATCCATGGTCACGGCAAAGTTATGAATGGTGTTCTCCGCGAAGGGAGTGCTGAATAGGACAGGAGGTGCCGGCTTGGTGTTGACATTGCCAAAGAGTTGCAGTGTATCTGGGTCGACTGTTGCGTCGCCACCGAGGATGGTGCCAGTCTTGAGCACGACTTGATTTGTGCCGAAATCGTTACTCTCCAGGAAGGCTAGCTGATACTCGTGCGAGAGATTGAGAGGACGCTGAACATCTTTCGAGAGACTGAAGTGCAACGTCTTGATGCCAGTCGTCGACTCATCCGTTCCCGTGTTGGATGATGGGATGAGCTCAGCGCGACGGAAGGCTGTCTGTTTGTTGAAGATTGACTGATCGCTAGTATAACTGTTAGCTGAACATACCTATGATGATCTGCTGGGGCTTGAGCTGACCTGATTGTAACTTCAAGGGGAACGTTGTCATTGCCGTCGAATGGCGAGCTGGCTTCATTAGGCAACTGCAACACTTTGCTGAAGCTCAAGCCAGCCCCAAAGACATTCTGAGGACTGAAGAGATTGTTCTCAGCATCGAACGCTTCTGCCTCGGTTCCGGTTGCAACTCTGCCGTCAAATTGCAGAGTACATTGCTGAGCCACTGCTGCTGAGGCAAACGAGAGAAGAGTGAACGACTTGTAGTACTGCATGATGGAGAAGTGACGTTGGACCAGCCTAGATCAAAAGAGTGAACCGATAGATTTATAAATGAAAGAAACGAGCTGACATCGAGCAACTAAGAATAATACCACGAGATCGCGACGTTCCAAATTCAAAGCGGCACGAGGACAGCCTTTAAGTAAGGTATTCAACCACTCACTTGCTGGCTAGTGTCTCCGGCCCGGAGGGACCATGAGATGCACCGATCGCCGGCGATTCATGCGCTCGTGCCAAGAGTTTGGAACGTGTTCGTCGCGTCTTTAGATTCGGCACCAAGCGAGCTGAGGCCTGTCAGACCCTCATCCAGGTCCCGTTCTGATTTCAAACAAGACACGGCAACTGAAAGAAGGTCCAGACTGAGGAAGGTTTCTCTCTCAGGCCGGGGTGATCGGGGAGGACACGGGCGGAGTTTCTAGTATTAAGGTTAGGTTGACGTGAATGGCAGTTGGCCGAGGCTCAATGGGCGGATGTGAAGACGCCTGTCAGGACTATCGCAAGGGTGCGCGCCGGGGTGACGGAGATCAAACGAAGCCGTCTCAGTGACGATACATACAACGCTGGCATCTCCTTCAACGTCTCGTGATATTCACGGAACGGAAATATCAGATGGATGGAGCCGGCAGCTGTCGGCAATATGAGATGAGAACGGGATCCTTGCGCAAGTGACTGTGTAACTTGTTCACAATGCGTGTATGTGTTGATAGTGCGTACCATACTGCTGCCGGCTTCGTCTCATGTGTTTACATGACGCTCAATCCAACGGCTTAAGCACATTGTCGGTGAGTTGTCATTTCTTTCCCCACATCACTCAAGGGTTTGCTTCTAGAAGAATTTGAAGCTAGGTATCATGCCAATCATGTCACGCCGAGACGGCTGATTAGTTGTGATGGATGATTCGCGGACAGCATAGCGGGTGAAGCTCATCGTCGTTTGGCGATTGCGGTGGAGATGGTACCGTATGTGAGAGAGCTCCCATGGATGAACAATCATCAATGCAATATCATCGGGAGGCTTGCTTCCGTAAACTCTGTAATCTCTCAAAATTGCCTTTGGTCCAGATCAAAGTGTTCGTCGAGCCTCATGAGAGCATCGCCAGAGTTGAGCGGTAAAAGAGGACTGAGAGTCAACAAGGTTTCCAGCAGTGACGGTAGACAGGTGACAAATGTGCTGACACCCCGGCGCATGGGCAAGGGCATGGACTCATGTCAATATCGACCACGTTCAGCCGTTGAACCAAGCGTTGTAGAGCAGAGGCGTTGCCCTTTCTCTGATTTGGCTTCGGGATGGAAAAGTAAGGTAAGAGCGATGGCACCTACAATTGATGGCGATGTTGGTCTGGAGCTCAGCGTTTTTGACTTGCTCTGAGTACCTTGAGCTTGAGATTTGGAGCGTCGCAGCCTGTTACACTGCTTTCCCCTCTCGCCCCAAGGTCACCATCTTCCGTCCATTTCAGATATGGTTGGCTATATGAATAGATATGAGCAAACTCATTGAAGCTTGATACATGATGCCTGAAAAGAGAGTGAGTGTCATTGAGTGCGTGGGTTGAGGGAGGTGCACAATTCCCAAGTGCTCAGGTTCCTTATCCGATGAAGACTCTTATCGATAACATGATCCTTATCTTTATCGCCTATTAGTGGATCTCGGTGATCTCACTAAGGCGAGGTTAGCGATCTGGGCCGCTAACGCTAAGCTGTTGGCGTCTTTGCTGGCTGGGGTCTTATTCTTCGGGGCGGTCGCGGTTCACAAACAACATCTGACTTCACCAGGGAACCTTGAACACGCCTCCGTGTGGTCAAACTCCTCAATTATTCCTCCCTATTGACCACCCGGCGATTTCTCAAGACCGCAACAATCCCCGTCTGCCTTCCGCTCAAAAACGCGAATAGTCGACAGCATCTATAGCTTGGCGGTTAAGCTTTCGAGCTTTGGTCTTCCCGAGCACCTTCTGAGACGCGTCTGTTCATGTCAAGCTTGGGCCTCGACAGTCGCCTCGCCACAACCTCGAACTCACGTTTTTCTCGATTTCGCGACTTGACACGGTTCTGCCAATTGGACATTCGGAGGCTCCCGTGAACACGGCAACTCCGTTCTTCGACCTACGCCGCCGACATCGAGACTCAACGAGCAGGTCCCGATACCGCGAACCCTGGTCTGGCACCTCCGGCCCACCGCGTCTGCACCGCTACCAACCCCTTCCACCACCGCGTCGCCAGAGACTACGATCCCAAGAAGACTGCACAGCTGTCCACCACGGTCAAATTTCGGAAGTTGGAGAAGATATAGCATTTGTGTCTCTCCCGACGAACTCTTGAGAAGTCCAATTGACCGGTAGCTCTGCCCTACCTTACCCAGCTGAGCCGAGTTAAGCAAGGGCTTGTAGGTCCAGACGCCACCATACGTCTGAGGCGCTATACATCTGGACTTCACAGCAAGCAAATCTCTACAGCCGGCATCCGAAAATCAAGTTGTTCTATCTCTCGCACCAAATATATGTTGACGGAGTCTGGCGCCCGAGTCGCATTATTGTCAGACGCGCCTCGGCCATCAGCATCATAATACCAGTGTCGAATTGTCGGAACTCCACTCCGGAAAGTCCAATGTGCCAACTCTAGGACGCCTTCAGTATGCCTACCACCCAGGTCACCCCGACAGAGGATGTTCTTCTGCAAGGGATCGCCGATTCTCTTTTTAAAGCACGAAAGGTTGTGGTCATTACTGGCGCAGGCATCAGTACCAATTCGGGCATTCCTGTAAGAACCCACGCCGGAATGGCTCCTCAACCCATGCTAATAAGTAATGCTTAGGACTTCCGAAGCGAAAATGGACTTTACTCCCTGATTCAAGCCCAGTTCGATGCCGCAAATCGTGTGGACGTGGTCGAGCCGAGGAATTTTGAATCAGCTGATGCCGGGCGCGAGGAACGGGAACCGCCTACAAAACGGAGGAGACTTTCGTTCGAGGATTCTGGCATTTGCCTGAGCGACGACTCGCAAAACTCAACCCAAGTTCAGGGAAGCAATCATGCATCCGCTTCGCAGAGATCCGACTCGAATACGGCGAGGTCTACGGGGCCCATCACTAGGGCGAGGTCGAGGGAATCAACTGTCGATGCTAGGAGTGCTAGTACCGATGATGCGCCCGTTTCGGGTGGCAGGCCTACCTTGAGCAATTCTTCAAGGGAGAGTGCAAGAGCTCAGTCTTCGCCACCAGACGAAAGCCCTCGGAAAGACCTGGCCGTCAGAGGACACCTAGGCTCGATGGAAGCACACCAAACACCCAGCGACAGAGCTGCCCGCAGCTATCTTCAGAGGAGGGGACGATCTGCAAGCCCGTGTGCCCAGCGAGCCAACGCTTATCAGGCGAGCTCCGCTGAGATGCGCAAGAGGTCTTTGTTGACTTCTACCATTGCCTCTGTGCAGGGATCGGGGAGCATCGAAGCCGTCAGCTCGACTTCAATTCCGACTCTGCCGAGGACGACGTTCTCCAAGGACGGTGAGCAGCTGGAGGAGAGGAGTACGATTCACGTTACGCCAAAAACCTCGAGGTTCTTCTTTAGCTCCTCACCTCTATCATCGCCACCTAGTGCATTTCCGCAAACGCCTAGTTTCTTAAGAGACGCGAGCCGCTTCACACGATCGAGTCTACGACAGCAGCCAATGGGTTTTAGTTCCTCGCCATTGTCGTCGCCTCCGCCAGTTTTGTTCGACCCCTTTGAAGAGCCTTCATCGTCAACTAGTCGGCAGACGTCGAGTGCGGCTAGCAGCACCGCATCTTCTGAAACCGACGAAACGCTACCGTCCTCACAGCCTAGCAAGTCGACTTTGCCCAACATCAAAGGCAGGGATCTATTTGATGCCTCTATATGGGCGGATCCCTTGAGGACATCAGTATTCTATACGTTCGCTACAACACTTCGAGAGAAGGTGAAGGACGTCGTGCCAACGGAATCTCATCACTTTATCGGCCATTTACGCAATCGGGGGAAACTAGTCCGATGCTATACGCAAAACATCGATCAGATTGAGGAGAAGGTTGGGCTTTCCACCTCGCTCCAGGACGGACCGGGGCATCGGGGTCGCTTCTCGAGGAAATCTGTCGGGGCCGTCTTGGCTACGGCAGCAACGGGAGGTTCCGCAGAGTCTATCTCCGCAACACCAGAAACGAGTGATTCGAAAGATTTGGGGGAATCAAAAGTGCCCGATGGGGTCGGAGTCACGGATTCGGCTGAAGCAACTCCGTCGGCCGAGCTACAGGTCCAACAACAGGCTGACAAGAGGTCCAATGGCGTGGAATGCGTTTTCTTGCACGGGTCACTGGAGTCTCTTCGGTGTTTTCTCTGCGGGAAGATTTGCGACTGGGATGAAGCCGACAGATCACACGAGACACTCTCCGGGCGACAGCCCGAGTGCCCGTATTGTGCCGGAGCAACGGCGGCACGGCAAGAGAGGGGCAAGAGAGCGTTAGGCGTGGGCAAGCTGAGACCAGATATCGTACTCTACGGCGAAGAGCACCCGAACGCCCACCTCATTTCACCCATCGTTACCCATGACTTAGGATTATCCCCGGACCTGCTCCTCATTCTCGGCACGTCACTGAAAGTTCATGGCCTGAAGATCCTTGTCAGGGAGTTCGCCAAGACCATCCATAGCAGGGGCGGCAAAGTCGTCTTTGTCAACTTTACGAAGCCTCCGGAGAGTTCATGGGGGGATATTATCGACTACTGGGTGCAGTGGGACTGCGATGCATGGGTTGCCAACCTGAAGGAGAGAGTGCCCTTGCTTTGGCTGCCGCCTGGCACCAAGTTGCCAAAGAAAAAGAAGGAGAGCAGTGAAAAGACGAAGAAACGCCAGAGCTCTACGGAAGAGAAGCCGAAGACGGAGGCAGTGAAACCATCAGCAAAGCCACAAGCTAAACCGTCTACCGATTCAGCCCCAGGTTTGCCGGCAGAGTTGTCGCACGACTCTCGACCAGTGACGACAGCGAGGCCAGAGAAGGCTTGTAAAGCTCCGAAGCTTGACAAGGTAGTGAAGACCGAGCCTCTCACGATGCCGCTGGAGGTTGCTGCTCCTCCCAAGTCTACACCCCAGAGGCCAATGGCAGTCCGTGATGACAGAACGAGCGCTGCTTGGGTGACATGGAAGGTGATGGCTGAACTTCGCCGCATCGTCGGCAGCATTACCCCGACGCCATCGACATCCCCTAAGGCCCTACGTGTTGAAAAGCCAAAGACGAGGAGATTGAGAAAGTCAGCACCGGCTGGTCTGTCACGGCCGGCTCCTGTTCTTCCAGACCAAACAAAAAAGACCCTCGAGCTAAGACCAATGATGGTACAGGTCGAGCAGGAGACTGTCCAGATAGACTTGGCCCAAAACGAGGGTGCCGGTGCACAAATGGTCATGCCAGACGCAGTGGAAAGCTCAATCTTTGCCGCTGTCAAACTCAATCCTCGGATGCGGAAGCGGAAGACGATTGATGGCGAGGAGATTTTCGTGCCCGGTATGCCACGGCCAGTCGCTGCCAAAGCACTCCCACAACCGACTCCACGAAAGATCAAGGCACCACACGCCAAAGAGAGGCCGGTCATTGTGTCGCCCAAGATTCTCTCCGACATTCAGCGTCCGTCCATGGACTCGCTCAGGTTGCCACCACTTCAAACAACCAAGGCGCCCGCCGCCACGCCATCGAAGCCTCAACCATTGGAGCCTCTTAGCTCCCCTGCAGGTCCCCTCTCAGCCATCTCGTCCAACACGCAGACTCGGGTCGACACACGCATGGCGAACCCTTTCTTTCTGTCAGATCCCCTCTTGTTACGACTCATCCAGGCCCCGGAATGGACCCCTCCTCAAAGCCATGGTTTCAAGCCTACCAAGGCCGAAAGAAAATCCAACAAGGATGCAGACGCCGCCATGGCGTTGCAGGATCTCAAGCAAGGATAAGTGTCTGGGTCACTGCAGCAAACACACTCTCCGATACGGAGAGAGCATTACATATAGTTTATGGATAGAGGAAGCGCTGAATTATACCCCCGCGGTGGACTGTATTCCGTATACCGCACTCCAAAATCGAGGTGCAATTAATATTTACGGTTCGTGACTCTTCACAGACATTCTTGACTCGTCCGCATCCGTACCCTTTCACAACCCGTGACGGACGATCTCGCAAGACTCTAGACCGAGGGTCTTGACGCTACGCCCAGTCCAGGGCCCTGCAGTAGGGCATCCATCGTCTGCATTGCGAACAGAGCTTTGCGTGCGATCTGGCGTGCCGTTGTTCGAGAAGGCTAGTCCCAAGTCAGGACGCTGCACATGCCCAAGCGCAGAAAAAAAACATCCAAGCCTAGCGGGCGAGTCAGGTCTTGTTTTTTTTTGTTGTTGTCTGGGCCCTTGATCTTCTCTGGGAACAAGAAAAGTGTTTCTTCCAGAGCTTGGTGCCAGTGTCGCAGGTCCACGTGGGGGAGCTCATGAGGCTGGGCGTCGGCTCCATACTAGGTACGTGTCGTTGAACATTGCATGTCACTTGGTTGTCACTCTCTTGTCAGAGATAACACAACTGGCTGCCAACTGCAAGTTGTTGAAGAATGGCGCGCTAATATGGGGTCTAGGCTGTCTGGAACCACTTAGCAGTCAATAGTCTGCAAGGCAATGGGCGCCATATTGTTGCCACTCCAAGACGACGATATCATACGCGTGTGAGAACCAAACAGTCGGTATCTCTGCGATGGCGAGCCCTACCTTCAGGGATCCCTGGTCCGTCAAAGTCCCAGGATCAGGCAGGTCGCGAGTGAGCGCCAGATGGTCCGTTACATCCCGCCTAAGCTGGATCGCAAAGTGGTAGCTGAGCCATCGCGGGCAGACGGAGTAGACCCCGACGAGATGCCTTACGACTTAAGTAAGGGCTCTGACGAACGCATTGATACCAAGCGGGGATCACGAGAGATGCGAGCTTTGGGACTCATGTACGATGTGTATTCTCCGAGACACAAACGACATCCGTGAGATCGCGGTGCGGCTGAAGGTCGGCATGGAAGCCTGGGGTATTCTTCAAGTCGGTGACACGAATCGTGGGCCGAGAGTGCAGTAGGCTCGGCCGGCGCACGTTCTGGCAGATTTCAGCTCCGCATCTGCAGCCTCATGATGGGCCAACAGGAACATGTTTCGAGAGGCGAAAGCTCACATTAGCCGCTTGATGCTGCGTGTGGAAGCGCATTAAGGGTCCAGAACCTTCAGCCTTCGGGTTCGCAACCTTTACGAAGGGTGCGTAAAGTTTCCTGGGACCTTTGGCCTAGATGTGTATCCAGTCGGTCTGCCCGCTCCAAGTGCCGAGCCTTGCATATTGATTCGAAGCGGCCACCAGCTATCACGCCATCCAGGGCAAGTTTCCTGCCACAGCCTTTGGGTTCCTGGACCATGATTTGCCTAAGAGCGAGAGCGGAAAGACACAATCCACGATGAAGCATGTCAAAGGCGCGAATAGGATGGGTATCCCAGTAGCCCGAAAGAGTCTCCAGCTCGTCGGACCAGGCAGGCATAGCAGATGACTAGGCGACTTTCTCCAAGCTTACTTGGTGCTCCACCTGTCGATAATGGAACGAAAAGTGGCCAGATGTTGTTGACTGGATGTGAATTGCCGGGAAAACTGCTGAACATGCTGGAGACGTTATTGTACCACATCAGATACACGTGGTGGTTCGTCAGGCAGTTCTGCTGGTGGCTGCCGTGGTTCGAGCTTTTGCGTTTCCGGAAGTCTGTCCCTTGAGCCAGCGACAGAGCTTCCAGACCATAGCATCCTAGCCCATAAGATGACCGAACCCAGAAAGATTGAAGCTGGAGCTTGCTGGAACACATGAGACACGGGACAAAAAGAAAGTGTTTGGCGAAGAAGCAGCGGGCGAGGAAAGAGCGGTGGCGTTTTTGGGGGAAGCTGGAAAAGCCGGAGGGTGTGTAAGAGGGTGTCGAGTGGTTGGTGGTGAAGCAAAGTCGAGATGGTGTTGTTGATGATTGGTAAGGAGGTGTGGGAGGTGAGGAGTCGTTGACCGAGAAAGCTTGGTGGTAGCCGAGACGTCATTCGCTCCCGGAGCAGGAGGAAAGGGCGGAGTGGTGGTCGGTGGATCCCGCTAGAAGCACCGGACATGCGCCCCGTCCTCCACAGGTGGCTTCCACCTTCTCCAACACAGACGGGGGCAGGAACTGGGGAAATTGGCGCTTATCTAAGGCAGCGAGCCACCTTCCCCCACTACGAATACCTGCCTTCCTTCTGTCTACACTTTTGTGTAGGTACCTGCTACCTGCTACCTGTGCCGAGATTGCCAGCCAGGTTTCTTTCCATTGCCTCGGGCAGGAACTGCCTCGTTGGTGGCTGTTGGGGTAGGTGCCTACTCTAGGTACTTTACGTGGCGTCAAGGCGTTCCGTTTCTTCACCGAGCTCTTACTTCCCTTTTTAGGTAGGTACCTGAGGTGAGGTTGCCCAGATCTCACCTGCACCTGCACCTGCTCACCTTGGCTCATCCATGATCCATCTAAACAGGACAAGGAAGGAAGGGACGATCTTGGATCTTGGTGGCGATCCCTGCCTGCCGTTGCACTGCACAAACTGCACAAACCCTTGGCCTCACGGGCCAACTCGCAGTCAACCTTGTTCCGTTCCAGTTTACTTTACCTAAGGTACCTTTAGGTAGGTAACGTGGTAACCAAATTTCAACTTCATTTGACCGCAGTGTGTCACCTCGCCAGTTTCCGTCTCCTCTTCGGCTCTGACTTCGGCCTCTGTCGCAACTTACCGCAATTACCCATACAGACTATTCCCATTGCGACCATTTCTCCAAATTCTATCAGTTGGCAATATCAACATCACAAAGCATGGGAGATAGTGTCTCTTTTGCTACCCTGATCTGGGCATTTTCGAGCTTAGCCGGACAAGCTCCTTTCTGAGCTCTATTCCCCATCCGGCACATTGCACTTGTCTCTTCTGGACAGCTCCGTTCAAGATGGATCAGCATTTCGCCATACGGATATCTGCATACGAAGCATATGAACACCTACGAGAAATACGCCCCCTGTAGGATGCCTCGTTAGGACGCCACGAGTCTCACCTGTCGCATGTTCTTTCAGAACCACGAGGATAGGCACCATGAGGCCATGTCTTCCCACGCCCTCCCGTCTAAGTGGACTTGTTGATGGTGCCTTCGACAAGTATGGGTTGATGGGAAAGTTTCAACCGAGTCGTCAGCCATCCATACACAGGGTTGGCAACTCTCGTCATCGAGATCGCGGATGACAACCTCCGGTGTAACGCGAGACAGACAAGCTTCATGGCATAAAGAAACTGTCTCTGCTATCCCGTTCCTAACGGTCTGGGGTACCTTAGCCAATGCTTGACGCCCCCGCGTCCTCGTCGACAAAGAAGGATCAATCCAAAAGCATACACATTTGCATCTTGCCGCGTGTTGGCCTTCGCACGCGGCAAAGGGCATGGCCGTGGGCATATCGAGAAGTCACAATTGCCGCTTCCCCTCCAGAATTCGATCGAGCGATCGACACAACTCACCAGGCACGCCGGCTTAGCCAGGTTAACACTGCCTGCTGTCTCACTTTAGACAACACCAATGGACAACAAAACAATGTGGTCGTTGAAGTGGTCGATCATCCCCGAATCCGGCGATTCCCCAGGGCATCCACTGGTGTTTGGTCCCTGGAAAACAATAGTCAATATCACCAGAGTTTGGGAAACCATCCATGTTGTTCATGGAGATCACGGTTTCCACGCGATTTCGGTTCACCGAACTTTGCGAATTGCCTTCCAAACTTGCCATACATCCGTGCGAGTTGCAATTCTTCGGAGCATTTCCATGACGTATTGGCAAATGGCTTCTCGCGCTTCTGGGCAGGCATTGTCCGCTTGAAGAATCACAAGTCTCCGCATATAGAGCCGCTGCGCTTCTTGACACTCTCCTGAAGACGCTAGCGGACTCTTTGACGCTGGGCTGGGACCGCAAGCTCTCATTCTCTGCCTGCGCTGGATGGCGCTTTGGCTCTTCGAAGCACTTGTGGGAGCGTCTTACCTACCTTAGTCTCCCTCTTCTCTGCCACACATGGTACCAAAACTCCCACGCCTGGACGCTTCAGGAGACCCGTCTGGCTGATCGGATTTTCCTCTTGCTGCCGCTTCAAACATCTTGTCAAAGCTTAAGCAACACGGGGCTTGTTTTCCCTTTGTCGTTCAGTTAACAAGCGCCGTATTCTGGATTGTTTTGCATTCTGAAGTATCGACAGAGTTGCTCTGCCTGCAGGGGGGATGCTTCGGTGCATACCAAAATCTGGGGCTACGGAAGATGCGGAAGACCACAGAGAGGCGAACGACTTACATGATGGACAGGATAGGTACTTGAAGAGTACTTGTCGAGTTGGAAGAAGTGCCCACCACTTCAAAGCCATAGGCTCGCCCGCACGAACACCTCAGGGTTCTTCCAGAGCCTCGCTATTTCTGGACTTGTAGGCCCTCGTCCGCAGTCATATCTCTACCCTCGTCCGCCTTGGGAACACAGCTGTCCACTTTTGGTTTCTACATCTCAATCGATCCATCTCGGCTTGCCAGGTCGTTGCTGACACTGCTCATCGTCCTTCTGATTCGTTGTTTCGCTTTTCGAGCATTTTGTTTTCGCTTCGCCGATTGGGCCCCAGCTGCTGCTCCGGCCAGACGTATTCTCGGATCGGCCACCCACCACACCAACTCTGGGAATATTGCTCCTTGCGTTGAGCTGATACGCTTTTGGGTGGTCCGCCTCTGCGTGGGATTGGACGCCTCAGTCGAACTGTCAGCCCGACACTGATTCTCAAATCCAAGACGAACGGAGCCCACGGCGGCCAGCCGCTTTACTATAAAAATGGTCAATCCTGATCGATGGTCATGGTCGGCGGGGCCACGAAGAAGTTCAATCCGAGGGGATGCGGTGAGCAGCTCGCAGCCATTAGCACGTTCTCCCGACAAGCCCATTTCGTGCGAGGTCGACGTCCCAAACGACCAAAACCTGCAGGGTGGCGGCGCTACCAGTGTCTCATCGCGCCGTTTGACCAAGAATCGGTGGAGCTGGCGGCCAGACGCAGCCATATCGGTGACCCTGGAAGATCAACCAGAGACATCACAGGGCGAGAGGCAAGACAGGGAGCAAAACTCGGAGCAAGTAGACACATCAGCAAGCAAATCCCGCCGCTTGTCGAAACTGATCAAAAAGACGGATGCCGCTCCTACTTCTGCGTCTCGACCAAAACGGAGGCCGACGTCCATGATAGCACCAACAAGCTCTTCTTTCGGAGCATCACCTTCTTATTCCCACCCCGCTTCCCAGGCGGTGCAGCAGCACTTAGCGGTCGAGGAGGATCAGGATCGTTCCTCTCACGCAAGCCCCCTTCCAAACCAGCCTGCCACAGGGGTCAAGAACAAGCTCAATCGCTTTCTCAGTCGACACATCACCACCCGGCAAGTTGACAAGAGAGCTGTGCCGGTGCAACATCAGCATCAGCAGACACAGGTAGATCCGACACCGCCGCCATCCCGACAGCAGCAGCAAACGCAGAGACCCATGCCGATGCAACCCCCGATGCGCCATCGTCT